AAAAATGCAAAAAACTGCATCAAATAATGATATATTGAATTTATTGTTAATTTAAATAATATCTAGAGGCACCCCTAGTGGCCATTTTTGGCATACAGTGAAAGAAAGAAAGAATCCGATTTTTCAGCTTTATATAGTTAGATTGTAATCAGTATAATGTAATTGGTCAGTAATTAATCAATGTAAATAAAGAAATATTTCTTAAGATATAATAAAGTTTGTCATTCAACATCATTTCATGAATTAATATATTTCAACTCTGATTTTGATGTTATTAAAATGAATTTTAAATTCCAATTTAAAGATTCTTAATCTAACAAAAAATGGAGCCCATTGGACTTCAAAAAGCCCTAGCCACCGAAAAACCTAGATCTGCCCCTGGGGAGTGACCCATTTGTACTTTTTGCCTCTGGGCCACCTAGCTTGAAGTTATGCCACTGGCTAGATCAATAAAAGATCCATTTCTGCAACACTGATTACTTATGAAACAGAAATAATAGCAAAATTAAAGACATTTTCAAATATTTGTTATCTTTATAAAAAGTGCATTTTATTTTCTCATTATTATACTTGTACTTAATTTTAAACATTTTAAGATGACTTTTATTTCAGGAAAACATTTGTTTCAAAGAGTTCAATACTGTTATTTGGATTTTTATTTCATATTATAACTAATTAAAAAACAGAATACAGACCAATATAAATTACTGTTAGTAAGATCAAGACAAGACTGACACTAAACTACAAGATCAAGACTGACACTAGACTACAAGATCAAGACTTTACAATGGTCTTGAGATATTCTTCAGACAAAACAGTGTCTCGAGACTTAACAATACTGCTGAAAATTACTAGAACTAGGAATTTTAGTTGCTACTAATCTTATGTTTAGGTAATTATAGTAGTTAGAAAAAAATAGTTTTTTAAAAATTACATTAGTTGGTATAAATGAAATAAGTATTTACACAAAAGCTGTTCTGAATTTGTTTTATTGCATTTTACTGTGAACAAAGCAGGGTGCAATTAAAAGCCACTTATGACATCTTCAGATAGAAGAGTAGGACTGGTGATTTCAACTAAAGCCTTTCCGTTATCAGTTTTACTAATATTTTAAGTTCAGATATATATCTATCAAGTAGGGGAAAGGTGCTCCTAATGAATTCTGCTATTTCATGAACTCCATGATTAGTATGACTTATATGGATTATTCTGGAAACAACTTGTTTAATCCTGAACATATTTTGATCATATATGAAATTATATGAAACTTTACATCAGTGTTTTTCAGTCTTTATCTCACAGCACGCTTGAATATATAATTACAGTAGACTCCCCTCTAACACGGGTTCCTATAGTTCGGATTCCTATATGACGGCGAAAAAATTGCGACGGTATCTGTACAAACATGGTAAAAAAAACTGCTATAATTCGGTAAAACATCATCGGGCAGCTGAACTACTTTCCGCTGTCCAGCGCCACACTACGGAGAGTTTAGGCGGGTAAATTGAGTTTACTATCGTCTGTACAGTATGTAAATTAGGTACCGTAAGACTAATACAGCACTAATTTTATACATTTCTTGTGAAAGAAACATTTCTTATTCAACGGCCATAAAAATTATTTATATTAATGATGTCTCCAAAGTTCAACGAAGTTTTCGCAGAGAAATAACATATCAGAAATCGTGGCCGCCATTTGGTGCGCTGCTCCGCGACGAAAACAAGCTTAAGCAATGGCGATGTCAAACGGTGCACACTCGGTAAGTAATCCTACAATTTTTTGTTTATAGCATAGTTTATATGGATTATTCCCAAAAACTTATACGTATTTTGGAAATGTTGAGTCGAATTAGTCTAGGAATCGATTAATTTTATGGAAGAAAACCTTTCAAACAGCCATAGTCCGTAAACTTCACACGTGTTGTGCTGTTATGTCAATGACTCGTACAAAATGGATTCATAAAGAACTGAACGTATCTACCGTGTTATAGGGGGGTCGACTAAATTTCTGCAGAAAAAATCATGTGATTTAAAGTTGTGCTTGTAAACATTCTATCACCATATTTCTTACCACTTAACCTAATTCTTTTTATGTATATTTTTTGTGAATTAAGTAAAACAGTATTGTTGCTCCTTAAAGTAGCAGAAGTTTACAATAAAAGTTATTTAAATTAATAATTTTCCTTTACATAAGAAAAACAAATAAATCTTAATTTGCATTTAAAAGTGCATAATAATTGCCTTTAGAAAACTGTTCACTGTCTTGCTATTTCTAAGTTAAAATAATTTGAACTAAATATGGACAATTATAGATACATTTTTGATTTAAAGAAAACTTTATTTTAAATGAAATAACTTGGTATTATGCACATATATCAATACTTTTGCTTATGAACGTATATTTTTTACTATATTATGTACATGTTTATTCATTATAACAATGAAAAACTTGTATAATCAATTGAAAGGTTTTAATTTTGACATGTACACTTATTGTTGTTTGGACTTCTTTCAAAAATAATTTATTGAATAACTCAAAAATGTTCACATCACACCTAAGATTCTCTTGCGGCACACCAGTTGAAAATAATTGCTTTATATAATCATGTATCGGTTAGAACAATATAATCGCTATTGTTTGGGACAATTAACAACTTTTCATACAGAAGTCTCTGCTTGTTTCCCTAGAGTAGTGGTAGGGCATTATTTACTGATTGAGAAACAGTAATATTATTACAAGACTCCACAGCAGAAATATCTAATAAAATTTGAAGTGCTTTGTCTAACTTGCCAACTAAAATTGCCAAGATAGATCTGTCTCACAGATTATTAGATATGTTTTAAATTATTGCAAAAAAATAATCATCAAAATGTTCAATGTCATCTTCAGTTTTGTTCTCAACACAATGATCATTATATATATTGTGTGTGTTTGGGGAGGATGTTTTTTTTTTACTCTCTCTCCTCTTGGTCATGAAGGCAGCCTTTTTAATCATACCCATTGCCCATTGTGAGTTCACCCAGGCCCATAATTGGAGTGGTTGGGCAAAGAGGGATGAGACCCAACATATTTGGACAGACTATATCCTGAAAAATTCCTGGAGATTTTTGATAACCAGATTTGATTTCAGGTCCCCAGAGTAGTAGGTTGATGCTTTAACTTTAACTGCCTTGGTCATCTGGCCATCTAATGTATAAGTTAATGAATATTACTATTATTTATTTTGTAATGAAAAAAAAAAAAAGACAACCCAAAAAAAATTAGAAACCACTATTCATAAATTTTGGTTACAAATTAAAAAAAAGAGTTCGAATAGTAATTAATCACCCAAGTTAGTCACTGTAAGCAGAATACATAATCCCTTCTATTAACCAAAAATATATATATATTTTTTGAGTTAAAATAGTTTTCTTCTTGCAAAAATGTTATTTTTAGTTAAAAACCTATTGCCAATTTTGGCATTTTTGTGCCTAGGCTATTAATGTCATATATGCACTTACTATGCAATTACACAATGAATAGTTAAGATAACTTTTTCCTAGGTTTACTAATCACTTATTACCATTTTCACTGTTTGCACTAATAGTGTTTCATTTAATTTCAACACTTCTTTCTTCTGCATAAATATATTGTGAATAAATATACTTACTTGATGTGTAAAAATTTTCAATTTAAATTCTGTTTCAAGTTGTTTCTTTGTAGGAATTCATATGGAATGGCATATATTAGAATTCTAAATAAGAAATTACACCTCAGTGCAAAATTTCCAGCAAAGAAATTCAATATTCTAATGTTTTCAACCACTATTTCATTGGCCCTCGTCAGGAACTGTAGAATGGAAAAACCTGATGAGGACTGATATTTCATCAGTCCTTGTCAGGTTTTTCCATTAAAATAGTGGCTGAAAATATTAGAATATTGAATTTCTTTGCTGGAAGTTTTGCATTGAGGTGTAATTTCTTATTTATATTAGAATTCTCTAATTAGCAAACATAACATTTTTATTTGAAGAATGAATTGTTACAAAAATTAATTGCAATATGTTTTTGAATTTTCTCTGTAAAGCTTTTCCAAAGTAAGTAAACTAAAAACTGAAAACAGTAAATCAAACTGATAAATTAAAATTCTCAAATTTATATCCATAATCAAAAGAGACTTGAAGAGTAAGGAGCACTTCAAAAAAATTTAAAAATTACTTAAAGAAAGAATTTTTTAAAATAAGAGCTGAAAAAATAAAAATTTCAAAATATATAATTCATGGACATTTTTCTGTACTGAATATCTACTCTTGAAATAAAAGAATCTTTTGCCAATGAATTCTGATATTCTTCATTTTCTATGAATTCTTGCAAAGGATGACTAATTTTGTTTTATTGAATGCTTTAAAAATTAAGCCATTATTAATTCCAACAGTATCTATCAATATTTGACTTTTTCAAAAGTTGTTAAAGTAATTACAGCAGAGCATCGATTATCCGACCCCTGATTAACTGTCACATCGGTTAACCAACCGTTCTAGTTGGCAAATTTCAAATGTCCGCTAGTGATGTGTCACTACAATATTTGGCTATATCTTGGCTACTTTAATATTATTTTTGTTAACTTTTTGCATGTTTTAGCTGGCAACACGGCTCGACCATTAAAGGGCGGCCAGTATTTAAATGAGATTTACTTTTCTAATTATGAGTGGTTGTTTGTTTTGTGAGCAATAAAATAATTTTAAAATAATTTTTAATGATACGATAGCGACGATTTATTATTTAAAAAAAAATTTGTTAGGTTTAACATTGATGAAAATTCAATGCGAAGTTGGTTAATAGCGATATACTAATTACATGGGATATACTAATATACTATACTAATAATGTATTTTTTTCATTTTTTCGGTTATCCGATTTTTCAGTTATCCAACTAACCTGAGTCCCCAATTGAGCCGGATAATCAATGCTCTACTGTATAATTAAATTTTAAGCATTACATAATTTTTAATTATTTTTCAGATGCTAGCCATCAGTAGAAGAGATGCTAAATTTTAATAACTTAAACATTTATTTTCTATACAAATTTTTATTCTTTGATAAAAATAAATAACAGCAAGAAATATGGTTGATGTAAGAGCTGAAATACTTGCTGCAAGTAGAACAAGAACTGGATGGCTTGAAAGTAATATTCAAGATAATGAAAGAAAACCTTTCATTAGCACATTAAAACTGAATTTTGAAGAAAAACGTGAATTACAAGAAAAATCTCCAAGTGGAAGTTCAAAGATGGAAACATCAAGAAAACTAGGCCCAAAAGTTAGCTCAATTGCAAATATGTTTCAGTCTCTTTCACCTCAAAAAAAAGATTCTCCAAAATCTGAAATTACTCCAACTCCTATACCTCCTAAAGCATCAAAACAAGTGGAGGTTGAATTTAATAAAACTGTAGAAAATGATACAAGTGATTCATCTCATCATTCTTCAGTTTCTTCATCTCCTGTTCTTCACAATTCAAATCATATAAGTAGATTTAATAGTGCTCGTGCTTTATTTGAGCAGCTTGTACAGAATAAAAAAGAAGAACATGAATTTCCAACTGAACAAGAAAAATGGACTGATGTAACAACAACTGTTGTAACGACAGTTCATTCTACAGATCATAATTTAGAATGCAACCAAGTTTCATTTTCAAATTATAATACTCAAAAATGTGTGGAAGAAAATCAACAGTTTGTAATTAATGTAGATATCAATAATGAACCACTTTCTCCCATACCATTATCACATTATTTACCTGAACATATATCATCTAATGAAGTAGAAAGAAAAGTTGAATGGAAAGATACAAGAAAAGATGATATTTTATCAAATATTCAAAAGCAAGATGAAAGGTAGGTTGATTTGGAATAAAATTGAAATTTTGAACTTTTCAATTTAGTTTAATCATTTTTAATTATTTATATATCTTAGTAAAGTCTTTTGTTTTGTAACAGATTATCAAATAGGTCAAACATCATTGATATTTCCAAACAAAATGTTAAACCTGAAAAACTTCCTATTGGATTTACTTCATATTTCTCAGATACAACAAATGATGGAGGAATCAAGTGGTTCAGTACAGTGTATGGTTCTTTAGATCCTAATATACAGGAAAATGAAAATGAATTGAAGGAACAGAAAAATAAAACAGGTATGTAATCAAATTTTTAATTAATATTAAAACGTTAGCTTTTATATGATACTTTGTGTAAAATATTAACAATTTTTATTATGTAACAACCATCACAAAAACTGTATAATTATAAATGACTCCAACTTAAACCAAATTCCAGTAAAAAACAAAAAAAAAAAAAAAACATAATATTTACCAATAAAGAAATGTTTTTAACAGTTTTCAGCTATCATTGTCAGATTATGGCATAGTGTTTGAAAATAGAACATAACATTTAATGTCAATCTTTGAACAATGATGAAACACTGTCTGATTGGACATCGCTGTAGTGATGTCAAAAAATTAAAATGGGACCTCAAAGATCTCCAGGTCTGATGTAGGGTGTTTGTTGTTTGCTTGTTAAGTTATGGCAATGCAATAGTTGGGCAATCTGCCTAGTGGGTGCCTTCTGGGAGGTCTTTTTAAGGGAAACTGGCTCCTATTTAAGCGTTACAGAAGTTGAGAAAATCCGGAAAACTCCACATGGCCAGCCCATCCAAGTGAGGCGTGAACCCATGACTGAACTCCCAGTGTTTAGGGCACGAAGACCGCTTGGTCATAGGATGTTTGTTTCTTTAAAATTAGTTGTAAATGTGCTTGAATCTAGTGTTCTGTGGCTAGGAAGGCAAAGATGGTGGTGTTATGTCTTTTATTTATAGATGTGAGGTGTTCCTTCAATTGTAAGCCTAGAGGATGTACTGGTGCTGTTGTTAGATGTGTTATCTGTGACTGGGATGGTGTAAATTCCAGGTGATAGGTGTTTGTACCAGTCCTTGGAGTTCCTCAATAATGAGTATACATTGGGGCTGCATTTAAAAGCAATAGAAATGTTGTTAGCTCTTGCTATTTCCATGTAAGTTTATTTGAGATGTTGGCATGGAAATAGCCAAATTCTCAATTGGGAGAATGAAAAAAAAAATCTTATGAAAACTGTTTGAGGCAATTTTTTTTAAAGTAATTGCTCCATTTAACATTAGTCTGCTACAGAAATTAAAGGAAACTGTTTACAGGGCAGAAAGTTGATCTAATAGATGTAACTTTTTACAAGGAATCTAATGATGCAATTTAAAATGACTAAAATGGCACTTTTGCTTAGTTATCAATAAAAAAAAATGTACCAATGTATGATATGACTCTTTCCTCCCCAGTGTAGTTATACCTTGCTATTCAAAAACTTAGGAACATTGGAGACTGATAATCTGGTAATTTCTTCTACAAAACAGGAATTTAAATTGTGATTCGATATTTCCATGATTTTTGCACATTACCTTAAAAGCAGAAAAATTAAATACTTATTTTAGAGGAATATTAATGAATTAATTTAATTCAAACCATTTTATATCACATATACATGTTTTGTTACTTTTTTTAGCTGTTTATCAAATTAATCATTGTATAAATTTCCATTTATTGCAATTTTGTCTTCATTTCACATCTTTTGTAGATATTAAGTTTTAATTATTTTGATTTAATGATCTTGATTGTTATTTATACAGTGATACCCTGAACTTATGTGATAGGTGGGACCGAGCAATAACTGCGTAAGTTTAATTCGCATAAGTTGGGGTATAATTTCTCAATTTGTGTAAAATCCAAGTCGGATGTATGTAAGCTGATAAATGTTCTCGTTAATCTTATCTCGTCTTTTGATTTATTCACGGTTACAAGAAATCACCACATAGTCTCTTAAGTTTTTGTAGATATAACAAACACAGAAATAAATAACACAAAATAAATTGTAGCTATGTGTCGATTCCATGTAACATGTCCGAACATGTAAGCTGAACAATAGTGTGGGGGGAGTGAGTAATCAAGATTTGCGTGGCACTCAAACAAAAGACGAATCGACAAGATTTGAAAATCACGTAACTCCAGGCTCACATAAGTCGAGGTATTACTGTATAAAAAAAAAAATCGTTATTTTAATATGTTCCTTGTCGTCAAAATCAAGGATGCTATAGTTTAACTCAACTTCCATTTTAATTTTATTTAAGAAGTTTTTCTATGAAATTCAAGTCAGGAATAGAAAACATAAAACTAAATATCATAAAAAGCAATTATGTGAATAAACAGAGTCACATTACAACAAACATACTTACACATCCTCACCCATTCACTTTCAACCACTTCCAATCTTTCTTTATGGGTTTCTAGAAAGATGATGTATTAAACACCTTCTCTGATATGCACATTGTAGATGATGATGATTTCACAACCAACAACTGCCTACCCTTAACCATTAACCGGTGCGAAATTCTTTAAAATCAGCAAACATTTTCAATTCCCCTCCTGGGATCTTCTTCAGGCTTACTTCTTTATATCTTTCGTTATAACCGGATTCTTTAATTCGAATGTTTTTGAAAAAACATTCGAATTAAAGACAAGTTTTATGACGTAATGCACACAAATTATAAGACAAGTTTTATGACGTAATGCACACAATGATTCCCCATTGGTAGAAAATTACATTTGAAATAACAAGTGGATTCCTTCCGTTTTCGGAATTTTTTCGAAAAATAGCACGTTACGTTTTTTCAAAAACATTCGAATTAAAGAATCCGGTTATAACGAAAGACATAAAGAAGTAAGCCTGAAGATCCCAGGAGGGGAATCGAAAACGTTCGCCGATTTTAAAGAATTTCGCACCGGTTAATGGTTAAGGGTAGGCAGTTGTTGGTTGTGAAGTTATACAACCCGGTGTGGTAAGAAAGCATATTGATGATGATGATATTTAGTAATATTCCACAATTTCAGTTTTCTTTGATAAAGTTACATTTTATCATCATTTTATAAAAATATAAGATCCAGAAAAGTAGATTATTGAAAAGTGAAGTGGAAGTGAGTATAAAAAAAGTTAATGTTAAATGATAGTCTGCACTTAATTTCTATTTAACCATCATATTAACAAAAATAATCTATCCAAATAAATTATTTTTGTATATTGTACTAGGCTTCATTTTATTAATTCTATAAGCATGGAATTGCTATACAAATAATGAAATAACAAAAAGAGGATGACTGGCATAGGATTTTTTTTACTAAAATCTACTTAAGTTCTTTCAAACAACTTTGTAAAGGTTAAAAGTTTCTCTCAAATGATAGAGAAAGTAATTTTTAGTACAGCAATCTGTAACAAAACAATTTAAAGTAATATGTTTTAGAAGTCAATGATTCTTTTAATATCTTTTTAAATGTATGAGATTACTGTAAATACTTTTAAAATATTCACACTTCATTACGCTTTACATCTGAAGCAAAAAACTAAACTACCAGTATTCAAGAGAAAATACACTGATTAAATAGTAACAATATCACAGATAATTTAGTCAGCTGCATATCATTATTCTGATCATGTGTTCTTAATAACTAAATTGTTTTATTGATTTACTATTTCCAAAATGGAAGTAACTGAATGTGAAGATAAATGTGTTGTAATGTTTTCAGTGGCAGATTGGTCTGTAGGTAATGACATCATATGACCATAGAAGTTCATTTGAAAGAAATTTATGGACTTTTATGAATTTTTTATAATATATGACGGAACAGATTTGTAGGAAAGCATATAGTTTTAAAGAATAAAAGGAAGGATAAGTTTACCAAAAATATTGAGAGAAAAGAAGACAAAATACAGTGACACTGCAAATCCAAATATAAACATGTTTACAACAGGCTTCACACAAATACAATAATGTCACAAATAAACAAATAAAACTTTTTTATATACAAGGTTATTCAATTCTAATTCCTATGAACTCTAAATAATGCAACTGTAGATGCTTTGTATTTTTGAAAATTGGTGTACTGACTATCTCTCTATGATACTTAGCAATTATCATTAGATAATGATCATTAATAAATGTTTTTAACTTAGATACTCATAAATTGCTCTGAGATAATCTCTGGATTCTGTAGGAATCATGATTTGGAAAAAAATAAATGAGAAAATTCATGATTTCTGATACCATAGATTGTGTTTGAATCATGTATAATCTCACTTCTGCAAATTAAATTCTGTCAGACATCTATTTGATTTATAATTATTTATTTTGTTCCTTCAAATGAAACATACTCAAACATCCAATGCAAGTATGAGATTTAATGTACTGTACTGCACATGTAAGCATCTATAGACACAGTACACTCAATACTTGAACAATTTACTCAATCATTCAGAGATGTGCCCCTTCCATCTATATAGTGGCAACCTACTCTCCCTCATTATCACCAGTGTGACATTACAGTCTACATTTCATTTGAAGGAATCAAATATTAAAGTTCTCAATGCATTTGCATTATAAAGTAAATAGTTTTCTAAAAGTTTTTTGTAATCTAAATTTAAAATGTTTCAAAAAATTATCCATCAATAATTATTAAATTTATCAAGAGATGGTGGCCTAATTGCCTACCTCTGCCAAACTTTATTCTGTTTAATTTCTATCTATATGTAGAATTTTTTTTTTGCTTTGGAGTAAATTCTCTTTTTTTGGATATCTGTTTTACTATTTAATTTTCATTTTCATATATTAATATAATTAATGCATACATATTCAATTTTAAATTTAAATGAATTATATTTTTATTTACAATTTTGAATTTAAAATATGTTTTTGCTGGTATATTTAAATATTAGTTGTAATTTTGTTAAATTATATAATTTTTATTGAAATTTTAAGTATAGAAAGTATATTAAATATTTTTCTGGAATTTTAGATAGCAATTCTTTGGAAATTCAAACAGCTAAATATGAAGATGTATCAGTTTGTCAATCAAAGCCCAAAGAAGCTGAACAATATATTTCTAGTAACGAGAAAGAACAAGATGTAACTGGATTATTAGAAATACCAAGACATGAAGATGAAAAATCTGATTCTGGAGTTAGTAGTGCTATTATTGATAGTGAATATGAAACTGATCTGATTCAAGTTTCTGAAGATTCCTTAAATTCAGTGCCTCTTAATGATCCATTTAATAAATCAAAAAATCACATTCAGATAGAAACTCCTCAAACAGTTACTTTACAATTTCCAACAGCATACACTTCTAATAAAAATCTTTTATTTACAAATCCATCAGATATTATTCCAAGAAGTACTGATTCATTATCTAGAAATTTTAGAAAAATAAACCAAGATGATAGATACGTATGTAATTGGAATGATACAGGAAACCAACATTGGAAGGAAGGAGAGCAATCAGAACCTTCTACTGATCATGTTAGTAATTTAATTATTCTGTTCTAAAGTATCAAAAATATCAAAAATGGTTAGGAAGTAAGCTCACTGAAAATGTTTTCTAAATTATAATTTCCTTAAATAATAACTTTTATAGGAATCTGAATCTGGTAGTCCTTATGAAACTACAGATATGTTACGTGAAGCAGCTGGTGAAACTTTAGCAGAATTTGAAGGTCGAGATAATGAATTATTTTTTGTTGAAACTGTTATAGGATCAGATGACCATGGCAGTGAAGTATGACAATTTAATATCTTTTATTAAATTCAACTTAGGAATGTAAATTAATCATATTTTAAGATATATAATATATTAATTTTATGAAATAATAATGAATTCTGTAATAAAACAAAATAAACATTTCAGTTTTTAAAATATCTTTTTTAATGATGATAATTTAAAACTGAAATAAAATAAATATGAATTTTTATATAAATAATTATTTTAAGAGATTCACTGAAATAATTTTTTATATTTAATTATTTAATGAAAAATTAATTAAAGTAATTATTAGCATAATTTTTATAAGTCTTAAAATATGATTTTTTATATCATACTTTATTTTAATAGCCTGAACCATTTCCAAGCCCTTCCATCAACAGAGATGTTGTTAATATTGATTTTAGAACTCATGATGATGCAAATAAATATATTATTATGAGGTGAGATTTATTGAATATTAGCAAAAAAAATAAAAATAAAAATAATAATAATAATAATTTTAAATTCTACTTTTCAAATATTGTAACTTCAGAATGATATATAATAATTTCAATAATATAGCAATATTATATTTTATTTTTAATTTATTAATTTAGTTAGCTATGAAAGCTTCTTGATTCAACAAATAAACCACTAAGTTGAAGAAAGCAATAGTTTTATTTGAAAAGTAATGCTTTCTGACACATTACGTTCATCCACAGCTCTTGTAGAAGATGGAACATAAAATATGACTAACTAATTACATTTAAAATTTTAAATGGAAAATGTAATAAGAAAAAGAAAGTGAAAGTTTGAATGTTAATTTGGAAGTTTGGAATGTGAGAGTGAGAGGTTCAATTAAATGAATTAATGAGGAAATAAGTTAATTGTTCTTTGTATGAGTGAGATAAGAGTGAAAGGTTTGGATATATGGATGTGAACAGGAATGTGTGATCTGGTCCAGTGTGCAAGAGACAGAGTAAGCAAATGCAGAAATAAATAATGCTTGTAAGGAGTACATGAAGGAGTATAAGCAAGTGAACGAAAGACTGATATGGGTGTGCTTCAAAATCAGGGATCACCAAACTTTTTTCACAGTGGGCCAGATAACTGAGAGAATGATGAGTGTGGGTCACATAACCATTTTGTTCAATACAGTACACTGAATACACAAAAAATAAAGACAACCAACATATTTATTTACCAATACACAAACATGATTGCTGCAGCAAGCTCATAATCACTTTTGTTAGAAACTTCATTGCAGATACTTATGTAAATGCGCTCTGATATACAAAGCCACCAAATTTTTTAACATACTGATTTTCTTAAAAATTATATTATTGTCAGATGCAAAAATCAGATTGGACCACTTCTGATATTTTTACTTACTTATTTTAATTTTTTCTACATAGTAAGTTTATCTACAAACTATGATATTTCCATATAAATAGTTATATTTTACCTCATTTGTGGCACAGTGCAGTGGCAGGATGGATGAACTGATCTTGCAGGCCTGATCTGGCCTTTGGGTCATAGTTTGGTGACTCCTGTTTAAAGTAAAGGCTCAGAGAATGATTTTTGTCATTGTGTATGCCCCAGTGATGCTGCTGTGGATGATTGAAAAGGATAAGTTTTAGAAAAAGTTAAGAGATGTCTTGGATAAGTGTGACCATCAGGAGTGTGTAATAACTGGAGATATGAATGGTTGTGTGTGTGTGTGTGTGAAGAGAGTAGACAGATATCTGAGAGATGTCTATATGATAATCCCCAAGTGAATAATAATAGAGAGTGATTGGTTGAGCTTTATGTGGAAAGTGACCTATTAGTATCTAAAATTTTTTTTTTACACAAGACCATTCATCAATATATATATATCGAATATATATATATATCTCGAAAAATCCTATTAAAGGTCAGAGAAATGCAATAGATTTTGTTGTGTATGATAATAGATTGAGAGGTGTAGTGGTATTGAGGATGCAACTGAAGATTGGGTGGTAGAACAAAACAAAGGAAAAATGGCTCTGCAGTGAGTGAAAACAGACTGCCTGATGAGTAGAAAAGATAAGTATAGAGAGCATGTTGAGTTGAAACTGGGGAAAGTGGATGAGGAGTTGAATGATGAGGAAGTTTGGAAGTATTTTCAATCTTGTGTGGTAGAAACAGCAAAAGAATTATGTAGTGTTACAAGAATGGACCATAAGAGGAGGACTGAATGGTGGAATGACAGAATTGAGCAAGTAGTGAAAGAGAAAAAGGCTACATACATGAGCAGACTGAATGGAAGTGTGAGTGAGGATGAGTACAGAGCAAAGAAACAAGAAGTTGCACAAGCGATTAAGGAAAGTAAGGACAGAATGATTGAAGAATTTACTAAGTGTTTGCATGGGGCATGTGAGGAAAATATAAAACTATTCTAGAAGCAAATGAAGAGTATGCATGCCAACATAAAGAAAAGTGTATCTTGTGTATGAATATTAGGTGTGAATATTTTGAGTGGTGTTCACACAGTTAGTGTGAATATTTTGAGAGCCTGTTGACTGCAGTAGAAGTAGTTTGAAGTTGGAACAGTTGTGGAGATAAATGAAGTAGTGATGGATGTGACCCTATTCAACTGAGTGAAGTTAGGAATTCAATAAGAAGAATACAAAATGACAAATCTCCTGCTCTGGATGGTGTGACTGCAGAAATGTTAAAATTTGGAGGGTAAAATATAGATGCTCTGACTCTACAACTTATTTTGGGGATAAGGGCTTAGTGCTGTGTGATTGGAGAAATGTCTGATTGTTCTGATATACAAGGGAAAGGATGAAAGGATAGATTGCTAGAATTTCTATGGCATAATCTTGCTGAGCATACCCGGAAAAGTATTTGCATGAACTTTTTTAAAGCTTGTCAACCAATTGCTGCTGACAAGCTATTTTTTCTTAATAAAATGAAATACTGAAAAAATTAAAAATTTTTAAACTTAGATTAACTAAATTAATATGAATAATTTTAAACAAGTTATCTTACTTTCTTATAAAAATATTTATTTATATTACTTACTTAATCTTTAATGTATTGTTTTCTTTCTAATGTTAATTGTTTGTTTTTTGTAATTTTTTTCATAATTATTTTTAATTAATTATTTATGTAAAGATTAATAGTAAACTTATTATCATTAGTTTGTGAATTCTATTCACAAATCAATTCATATATATTAATCAAATCTAAATAAATCATTATCATCAATCTACAGAAGACAAAAGAATTGTTGTTAAAACCATAAAAGATACAAAAGTTAAAGTTCTGTAATTTCAAATATCAGAAATTTTCAAAAATATTAAATTTTTAAATTCAGAATAAAAATTAAAATTTTATTCAAAGCCAAATTTAAATTGATTTTATTTTAATCTGAATCTAAATGAATTTTTATTCTAGTTAAAATATGCAATAATTTTTAATGAAATAATAAAGATGAAAAAACACCAAGTGTTTTATTTATTAAATTTTTTATTACAACATTTTTATTTATATAAAATTAGTTAAAATTTTATTTAACTAAAACTGAAAGCAATTCATTTCAGTTTATTGATAAAATAAAATAAATTTATTTATAAACAATTTTTCTTAACTAGACAGAGTGGAAGTGATCATTCAGAAACATCTAGTTCTCTTTCTGCTCCACCATCAATCCATGAAGATGAAGATGAACGATTGACTCCCTGCAATACAGTTTTGTATGACAATGTAAAGTATTATGTATTACCTGATGGGCATTATTATACTGAAGTTCCTGGTTTGGGAGATGAAAGTGAAGAAGACGATGTGATGTATTGTCCCATTCCACCTCGTCAGAAATCTAAAGTTAAATTTAGTCATACACCTATTAAGGTAATGATCTCAGTGAATGCATAATATTTTCTTAAATAATACACATAGTAAATACATAGTATTATTTAAAAATATATAAAAATAGGAATTTTATTTTGTTAAAAATAAGACTTACTACAATCAATAATTGGTGCGAAGTACTTCTCACCAGTTATTGGTTGTAGTGAGTCTTATTTTTATTGTTATCCTGGTGTGGTATGCAGATATTTATTATTCAGCAATGCCAGATAGAATTTATTTTGTTAAAATGGAATATTTTTTTTTCCTCTGTAGTTGTTACTTTTATAAAACAAAAATGTATTAACTTATCTTGCTCATAATGTTACCCTAATCATTTAGCTTACATAGCCATATTTAATTAAAATATTAGCAAATATTTATTGAAGTGTTTTATTTAAATAAATAGGAAAATGTGAAGAAGGATTTAAGAAAGAATTGAGTTTTTATGAGACATAGCTCCCTAATAACTCTTTATTTACAGATATCAAAGAATTTTGTTGTTATTATAATGGAACAATAACTTGTATAATGAAACATTTTAAGTTAAGTATTTTATAAATGAATAACTACTAGGTAGCTGAAACTAATAATAATATAAATCAAGTAAATCTAGATTATTTAAGTCATTTCATTATTATAGCTTGTTAAATACTTTCAAAATGTTTCAATATCATCTACAGAATATTTAACAGATTCAGTGATTGAATGTTCTGTAGATTATTTTAGTATTGAATGTAAAAAATATTTTGATTTTTACAAAGTTTTGATTTTTGTGTTACTATGAATTAGCTCATGATTTCATGAGATTCAGTTAATAGATTTCAATTAATGGATGTTTCATACTTCATAGATTTCAGTTAATGGATGTTTGAATTTTATTATACAAAATTTATTCCATTATAAATTTAACAGAATATACAATTTAGAAAGTTGTCAAATTTAAGTAATTAACAGCAAATTTTTGAATTCTAGCATTACAACATTATATTAAATATAAAATAAATTCTAATGACATAATGTATTTAAACAAAATGATAAAATACATCTAAGAAAACATGCTTCAAAGAAAGATTTGCCTAAAATGAAAATATGTCTTAAATACAACTTACTGACTTTCAAATTACTACAAATTTTATGCCATTGCTTTTATGAAAAGAAAAAGCAATGTTGTCTATCTTCATAAGATAATAGACAAATGCCTACAATATTTCTTACGCATATCAGATTAAATTAATTAATGGGATGGTAACATATTACCAGATTTCCAACTAGAATTTAAAATAAATATCTTCATTTTTATTATTTTAGAAGCTGTCTTGGCTACAAGCCTATTCTGACTAAAAATAGCTAAATTCAACTAAATTATACAAGTTTTCAACAAATAAACTTTGTACAAAACAAATAAACATCTACAAAGTAAGAACTTTCTGAGGAAGTTGTTTCTACAAATGTAATATCTACAACAAGATCCTTATCTAACACATTTTAACATATAGCATACTCCTATATTTCAATAAAATCCTAAAGTATAGCAATTATAAACTTTTTACACAATATATAAATATATTAATATACACAACATATAGATATATGATACATATAAATATGTCATAGAAAACTTCACCTCCTCCTGAATATAGAAAATTGTGTCTACTAAGAATAAAAAGTAATAACTATGTAATTATTATCATTTTGATACTTAACATACTAGTCTTCTTAGTATCCAAAAGACAAAAAGACTTAAATCAAACATAAACAAGCATTATTCATTGAAAATTAATGATGTATATGTGAATAATTCAAAATCCAAATGGTTTGTTACTAGTAGCCCGGGAAGCCCCTAGTGGGTGTTCTAGCAGCAGTGGTGTCATTCCGTGGTATAAATAAATTCATATCAATAATAAAATCCTATTACAAATAAAAATATATATATATATATATATACATNGAAAATATATATATATATATATATAATTATAAATACTATAATAATACTCGATATATATGCATACTTGCAACATGGCAGCTGGTTGTTTTTTTGTTTTGTTTATTGAGAACTGTCTTAATCTTACCCATTTTTGTTTATATGTTATATATCGTTATATATATATATTATATATTCATTATTCATTATAATATTCGTTTAATAATAAATTCCTATTAAAATAAAAATAATAATATACTGAATTTATTGTTAATTTAAATAATAGCTAGGGACACCCCTAGTGGCCATTCTAGGCATTCCATTACAGATTACAGATATACAAACAGTGCGATCAATGGCTTATATTATTAGATTTGTTAATATAATTTATTTCTAATGTTAAGCCATTTTTATTATTAATACCTATAAAGTCTAATGTTGCAGCTACAATTCTTTCTAATCCATAATATCATCTTCAATAGATATTACTTTAAACAATCTACTATAGAATAATCTTTTAATCTATGATGTAGCTAATTTTTTGTTATAAATTATTGACTTACATAATAAGTTTCATTGTTTTATGTAAAAATTACTTCTAAAATTAATTTTTGTATTATGTGAATATCATCATTAAATACAAACATTGCTAGACCAATACCTAATATAGCTAAATTTTGGCATTTGGTTGGTGTTTAGCTATTATCATTAAATTATTATTTAATCATTCTCATTTGTAAAAATAAAAATTGGGAATTCAAAATTGAACAATAATTTGACTTCAACAAATAGTTTAAGTATTATTACGTGAAAAGAAAACTCTGAATTCAGTAATAATGAGAAACTAGTTTTTATACTATATTTCTTTACTTCACACAATAGAACAAAATAACGTATAAGAACATAAAGAAAATTTCATAATGGTCCTTTTATATTGTTGAAGTTTGTAAGAATGTGCATGTCATGTCAGTATCACACTCTTATATATGTTAAATCTTATATTATAATAATAATAATAGACTGTGATTAAAGTTTTAAATATTTTCTGAACACAGAATTTTATAATAAATTGGAATGTGACGACTTTATAATTTTATATTTAGTAATAATATATTTTCAATAACAATTTTTTAATATTATTAGTGATAAAAAATTTTTGATAATATGTAATTTTATGTAGGTGTTTAGTACTCATTCAATTGAAGATTATGATAGAAGAAATGAAGAAATTGATCCAGTTGCTGCTTCTGCAGAATATGAACTTGAAAAAAGAATAGAAAAAATGGATGTATTTCCTGTTGATTTGATGAAAGGTAATCATTTTTTTTAAAGAATGTTATGATAATGTTATGATCAGATTAAATAGTTAATAACATCATCATTATATTATACCATATATTTAATTATATATCATAAGTTTTAAATTAGCAATCTATTATTTTAATATTTAAAAAAATAAAGTTTGTTTATACATTTGATTATTTGTATTAGAAATAACTATATGAATAAAATGTCATTCTATGCACTTTATCAATCAATATCATGTCTGATATTTTTGTGATGAACCGAACTGTTCATCCGTAAAAATTATATTCTAACACAGATCATGTTTTATAATACAGATTGTATATAAATTGTTTTCAAAACTATATTTGAGATATTTATAATATTGATTAGTCTGAAATACCAAACTTCATACATACATACATGGTAGATACCTTCCATTTTATATGAATTCTGTGTTTTATGAGTCACTTAAATACATGAGCCAATCACAGCTTGGCACGTGTGCAATTTAGGGACTACGGCTGTTTGAAAGGTTTTCTCCCAAAAAATTAATCAATTCTAGACTAATTTGACTCAACATTTCCAAAACACACAATTTTTTGGGAATAATCCATATAAACTATGCTATAAACAAAAAATTGTAGGATTACTTACCGAGTGTGCACCGTTTGATGACACCATTGCTTAAACTTGTTTTCATTGCAGAGTGGCACATCAAACAGCGGGTGCGTGTTTTCTGATAAGTTATTTTTCTGCAAAAAATTTGCTGAACTTTGGAGACATCATTAATATAAATATAATTTTTATGGCCGTTAAATAATAAATGGTTTTTAGTAGGTCCGCTGCTCGTTTAAACTCAACGGTTCGGCGATGATGTTTTAACGTATTATACAAGTCTCTTTTAGTGTGTTTATACGAATATGATCGCAATTTTTTTGCTGTGTTATATGAATCCGTATTATATGAACCCATGTTATAGGGGGTTCTACTGTATATTTTTTGATAAATTATTTTGAAAATTGATCATCTATGGCTTTGTTTCTTATATCTGTCATGAGTAGGTATTTGAATACAAAACAAAACCTAAATTATTTTTTAAATATAAACTGAATTAGGCTGGATATTTCTTAAGCTAGCTAGTGAAAAATTTAATTTGCTTATATTTAGAAATTNATGATAAATAAAGAATAAAGGAAGGTTGTATTCACAGAATTTATATCAATATGAATTAAGTTAACATCTTTGTGGGAGAAAATATATCTTTGAATTATATTAATTAAAATGTGAAAATAAATTCTAGTTTAATTGATAACACATGCACAAACAAACAAACAAACAAACAAACCAACACACAAAACACACACACACACACACACACACACACATAAAATATCACACAATTGCAAAGTATTCAATATATCATAAAGCTGAATTTATGGATATACTTTTAATAAGTTTATGTAGATACTTTTAGTTTTATGTAATTTCATGCAGCTAACTCAACAGCATACATCTGTAAAAAATTGCTAGAATGGAAATGACATCTTTACATAATCTGCCCCTCTAAAATATTATTTGAAATAAGACAATTAATGTGTTTTAGAAGGCATATTCTCAAACATGCTGTGTTTTTTACATTTTATTTCCATTAGCAATACATTATAGATCTAATTATAAAATGTGAAACAGAACATAAACTCCAAAAGTATCAAAAATATAAAATGTAAGCCAAATATCTGAATTTTTTATTTTTCACCTCTTTTTCTGTTTTATTTATCAGATTATATTAATTAAATATGTAACAACAACAATAATAATAATAATAATCTTAGCACAGACAGATTACTTACATAGACACAGTCAAGTAGCAAATATAATACACCAAGAGCTTGCAAACAAACACAAATTGGTAGACATCCATGAACCATACTACAAGTATATACCACAAACAGTATTGGAAAACAACATGCACAAAATGTACTACGACAGAGCCATAATCACAGATAAAACAATTTACCACAACAGACCAGACATCACACTCATTGACGTAGCCATTCCAAACACTCACAATGTACAAAACACATGCACTGAAAAATTAGCAAGTACACAGAACTCTCCTAGGAAATAAGGCATCTGTGGAGGATGGATAGGGTGCTTATTGTACCTGTCATTCTCTCCTGTACAGGTGTGATACTACACAAAAGCCTGGGAACATTACAATTGAATAGAAATACATACGTCACACTACAGAAGGCCACTATATTGAATACATGCCATATTGTTAGGAAATTCCTGAATACAGACACTCACTATTTAATTTTAGTTTTGTGTTGGTTGCTATGCCTTGACTCTGGTCCAGCATAGTACACAGCCACTGGTGTCAACCGAGTATAACCCACTAAACCCAACATAATAATAATAATAATAAATGCTAAAATAGATTGGAAAAATTAAATATAAAAAAATTTTAATATTGGTAATGTCCAGTGACATGGGTTTGAGTCAATTGATCAATCTTTACTTTCTGTAAAAAATTAACATGAAATAAAATTGAAAATTAGTTTCTAAATAGTTCTAAGATGATTATTACGTAGATAGAATGGATTATTGGAAATTTATCAACTTAAATAAATAAATAAATAAAAGTAAGAATGCTCGATGATGTCATATAAAGCATGGATGTACTGTATAGAAAATGAACAGGAGAGGTCTTAAAGCAAGACATGTACAGTATTTGTGTCTTCTGGAGATTTTAGGAAACATCACAATGACAGATGAATATCTTTAATACACAAAGGATATTTTACATTTTTTAAAGATGCTCTGAGTAAGTTTGACAAAGGTAAATCTGAGTTAATAATTGCAAATTAAAATTAGCAGAAATTTGCATTTGCATTCAAATTGACCTTTAAGTGCACACACCCTACATCTTATCCATACAAAATTATATTATTTTATAATAATAATTGTCATTTAATTTACACAATTTTTGAAATTATCATGAAGACTTTTCAGTTTCATTTGTTGATCTATTTTCTATGACGATTTTTAAATGAAATGACAAGAATTAATAACATTCAATGGTAAGTATATTTTCAGTCAAGTTATTTCAATCAAAGTAACCTGAAAGTGTTCTTTGACAGTTTTTAAGCTATTTATATTAATGTTTCACTTGAAATAAAGTTAATAAATTTACAACATTGTAAATAGTTTGTGTAAAGATATTTGATTCAAATCTGTAATAACATCATTTTAAAAGCCTATGTCAAGCCAATTATAAGAAATAATTTTTTTTGTAATTTGTTTCACTATATCACAGCATTTATATTTTTTTTAACATTTATACAAAGTGCTAGTAGAAATTTATAAAATTGACATCCTTAAGTTTTGAATTTTTAACAATTTGTATAGAATAAGTGAAAAAAAATGCAAATTTTTTAAATTGAAATATTAATTTTGAACAAAATAAAATTTATGAATCAAATCTGATGCAAGAAGGATGTAGGATATGGAAAAATATATGTTCTAGTAAGCTAAATTTGTATGATAGTCCAAATTTTCATTCAATAACTGGAATAAGTTAGATCTTTATAAATGCATAACATAATTAATAGTTTATATATAAATATATGTATTTAACTATTTATTAATTATTATTAATAGAATTAATAGTAGTGTCAAATGATTATAAAATATAAAATAGAAAAATGCAACAAATAAAAATATTAATCTATTTTGATTTCATATTTGTAATTATTTTTCAATATTGCTTTCAAAATATATTTTAGGTCCATTCTTTATAAGAGACTAAATTTGGTTAGTTTTTGGTATGAGACTAAATTTTAAAAATTATTACATAGTAATGCTATAATACTACTTTTTTTTTCTAGAATTAAAGTGAATGATCAAATAATTGAAGTAGATGGAAAGTCATTGGTTGGTGTTACACAGGCATATGCAGCATCTGTTCTTAGGAATACTTCTGGATTAGTAAAGTAAGTTTTACTAAAAGCAATACTTTTGTGCATTTATTTAATGATTTTATTTTCTCAACAAAATATATTTAGAATATTAAAACTAACATCTTATTTTTTAGATTTTTAATTGGACGTGAAAAAGAAGGTGCCAATAGTGAAATTGCTCAATTAATTTCTCAATCTTTACAAGCAGATAAAGAACAAAAAATGCAAGAATCTCAAGACTGGGTAAATTTTGTTAGTTTTTGTTTGTTAATAAATTTAATTAAAAGTAAGTATTGTTATTTAATGTAATTTTATAACTGTTATAGTTTTAATTATTCTTATGAATTTCAAGTAATTTTAATTCAGGTAATTCAAATAATTTTATTTAATGTTAATTGTTATCAATTATTACTTTTATAACATTTTTTGTATATATATCAAACATAATTTTAATGGATGTAAGTATAAAAAATGATTATTATAAATATCATGATTTGCATTGAATAACTTATTATTGTATAGTAATAATGACTCTTACTTAATTTGTGCTTTTTAAATTAACAAAATATTGCCATGTTCTGTTTATTTCTTTCTTTTACTGTACTTTTTAAGTTTGATTTGAAGAAAATTATCAATTTGTAGTGACATTTCTTGTTATATTTTACTGGAGAAGTTTCTCACTATTGGAATTTTGTTTATAATTCAAAAAATAGTCATAAATGAATAAGAATGGAATTCTCATCCATAGAGAAAAAATATTTAAAACATTAAGATAGATTTCCTATCTTTTTAGATATTTGATTTGAAAACTGTTGTGCTAAATCATAAAAATAGAAATAAGGCTGTTTATCTTTTTGTCAGTTTTCATCTCTATCAATGATTTACAATTTCATTAAAGCTTAATGTGTCAAATTTTTTGTTATATTCATTTAAGTGATTTAATTTGATTTAAATAACAGAAATTCATGTAATAAAGTTTTGTTTATTTAATATACTTGTTATTTCATTCATTGTTAGATTCACTATTATTATATTTATTTTATTAGTATTTGCTAAGTGATACTCAACTTAAAGATTTTTTATTAATTTCATGTTTTGCTCTCTGAAGTGATGCATTGTCTGTTCATTGCATCACATCTCAGTCTTGGAGATCATCAATTTATTCCTTTATTATATCTTATTACATAATTGATACAAGACAAGAATAATGGGCAAAATAAGTCTCTCTCCATGATAAAAGGAACTGATAAAAAAAATGAAATTAAAACAACTAAATTACATAACACACAAAGCCTTTTCATATTATTTAAACTTAATAAATCTAGAAACAGAATATTTTCAACATTTTTAACAGAATTTGCAAACCTGTAAAAAGATGCTCTTTAGGAAATATTAAGATGATAGGAGTATAAAAACAAAGAATTAGTGTTAATACTGGATGTTTGTAAGCTAACATACTTAGGGGATAAACTAACATAGTTGCTTGTTAAGAGAAATTTGTAATAAATTAACTTCAGAGGAAGATTTTGAACTAAGTATGTCTTCATTGTACTAAAGTTTAAATTGTATATTAAAAATTAACTAATAAATAACATGTTAAAGTAAAAATTTAATTTATTTACATTGATAACTAATTTTCTTACTGAAAAGTTACCTGATTTAAAAGTAATATTAAGCAACTATTATGATTAAAAAAAATTATTGTACGGTACAGTACTGATTTAGATTGACTAATTTTGAAATATTTTGAAAATTTGAGATAAAAAGATATTTATTACAATAATATTGTAATCATTATGAATTTAATATTTGAAGAAAAACCACATTTTATATTTATTTGTTTATTTTTATATAAACAAATAAATATATATATTTATTTACTTATTTATTTAGGAAAATTCTATGGAAGATTTAAATGAATATGATTGTTCTGCTAATCAAAAAAATGATGATCCACCATTAGGAATTCCTGACTTAGTTAAAGACAGTAGTGACTATTTATCATTTGAAAATGACACAGAAGCATTAAAAATTAAGTTAAAAGAGGTAATAATGTAATATAAGTTTGATTATTTTTTTATCATTCAAAATAAATATAACTTAATTTGATAAACATTTGATAGGCCCAATATAGGACTGCTATAAGTGAAGCTGAAGTAAAGAAATTGAGGGAAAAAGTTAGTAGTAACAATTTTTTATTTGAAAAATGATAAAAGGAAATAGGTAAAATTAAATATTTTCTGATTTAGGTACTTAATTATGAATTTCTGCAAGCAGAACAGATAGATTATAAACTTCAGTTAGAAGATTTACAAATGCAGTTGGAAGAAAAAGAATCAAATTTGTCTTCTATGCATCAAGAAATAAAATGGTCTCAACAAATGTTAAATAAAACTGCTGAACTGCATAGTTTATTGAATAAAAAATATGGAAGAGCAAAGAAAATTATAAAAAAATTTAATCAAAGGTAAATTTTAAATTATTGTATTATTCATTTTTATGTTATGATTATTAATAGTAGTGTCAAATGATTATAAAATATAAAATAGAAAAATGCAACAAATAAAAATATTAATCTATTTTGATTTCATATTTGTAATTATTTTTCAATATTGCTTTCAAAATATATTTTAGGTCCATTCTTTATAAGAGACTAAATTTGGTTAGTTTTTGGTATGAGACTAAATTTTAAAAATTATTACATAGTAATGCTATAATACTACTTTTTTTTTCTAGAATTAAAGTGAATGATCAAATAATTGAAGTAGATGGAAAGTCATTGGTTGGTGTTACACAGGCATATGCAGCATCTGTTCTTAGGAATACTTCTGGATTAGTAAAGTAAGTTTTACTAAAAGCAATACTTTTGTGCATTTATTTAATGATTTTATTTTCTCAACAAAATATATTTAGAATATTAAAACNATAGGGAGAAAGAATATGTACAACATGAAGAATATCGAACACAGCAAATGCAAGAAATGGATAAAGAATATAATGCTTTAATAAAGGCTTTGAAAGATAGAGTAGGTGTTTGATTAAATTATTTGATAAAACGTATTCAATGATAATCTAATAAAAGTGCAGGAATGATCCTACTGTAGTAATTATATTGAAGAAAACTGTTAAGTGTTTTAGACATCATCAGATCTCTCATGAACAACCATATTTTTTCAGTACAGTGTTACCTTGACTTATGAGTTGTTTGAGATATGAGTCATCTCTCAACTGATTTTTTGATTTGAGTTGAGAACTAAAATTTGGGTTATGAGCCAGCTTCAGATACCTCACTGCTAGTTGATGCAGAGAACCCTATGCCACAGCAAACCATAGATTAAGAAAAAGAAGATGGAAAATTTTTCGTTACTCTTCCAATGTTTGACAGGCTAGCTAATAGAAAAACACATGATCGTGTGACATAGGCATTAGTTCACTTCCGTGTTGGGTGTGGCACCACCATCTTTCATTTCTTGAATTTTCCATCTTTTCTCTTTTTTTATCTATATAGCAAACACTGCAACATATGCAAAACCAGTTTATTGCAGTACATTCTATTGTGTTTTTATATAATAATTGTTATTTACAAGTACATTTTTCTTATTTAAAAACATGTAACAAAAAAATTGTCGTGTTTTGGGGAGTCCAAATTGGATTAATGGTATTTCAATGCGGAAAATTGACATGAGTAATTTGAGTTACATCATGGAACAAATTAAAGTCTTAAGTCAAGGCACCACTGTATTTTGATAATTGTATTGAATTTTTATTCTTGCTGCAAAACTACTTATAAAATATCAAGCTTCCTTATGACATCTATGAATTTATGATGCATTTGTTAAAAATCAATATTAGTTATTTATATTGTTTCTTTTTAGTTTTGTCTTTTAAATTTATAGTTATTCATTTTATTCTATACAGAAATTTTATAAAAATGTCTTTATTTTAAAGGTTGGGCTAAGCAAAGAAATAATACAATGTTTGAATTACATCATAAAATGTTTGTTTGAAAATAAATTATAAATATTTAAATGGGATCACTAAACTATTACTACTATAATAGAAATTAATCAACAAATGCAATTTAATTTGTTAATAGTAAATTATTTATTTTGTTATAAATAGGTAATTATTTTAGAACAGAAATTACTAGAAGCACAAAGAACTGCAGGCTTGCCAGCACAGATTCCAAGTGATTCACTTGTTCATCAATTAACTGCACAAATTGAACTGAACAATAAATCAAGGAGAAGTATACCAGGTTCTGTATCAAATTAATTACTAAATTTAATACGTGATAAAAATAAACTTATTCGTCTTTTTAATTCAAAATTATGTAAAATTTAATTTTAATAATAAATTTAACTTTTTAGTAAGAAAAATAGAAGTGGATATATCAGATGGTGAATTATCTGATGATAGTACTGACATAAGTCAAGAAAACAGTGAACAGAGTAGAATATTAAATATGGAAACAACAAAAGAGTCAGAAAAAGAAAAAAGTGAAATTCCCATTGGTGAAAAATCAGTTTATAAAATTACACAGAAAGAAACTAAATTTCCATCAGAAATGAAAGAATCATTATTATCAAAGGTAAAAAATAAATTCAAAAATTTTTAAATTTATATACTATATTGGCCTTAATATTAGTCAATGTTTTCTTCTAGTTTTTAAGGGGACAAAAAAATCACTCTTGATCTTTATCCAAGCCTCAACTTACTATATATTCAAATTTGATTACTTTTCTTTGATTTCAATAACTATATGGTACATGTGCAGAGTTATACTGACTTTGAAATTCAGTGTGTTAATTGATTAGAGATTCTAAACACTAACCTAACTAACCTGTCATGCTGCAGCCCTACAAACAGCATGTGGGAATGAAGTGTTTGGCATGATTACATAATCAATTAATCAATTATTTTTATCATACTCAACAGAATCAGTCAGTTTGGTAACTTCTACAGGAAGTTTCTTTTTGTAACTTTTTATTTTACTCCTAGAAATCTACTGATTAATCCATCATCAAAAATTGGGGAAAGTTGCTGAAAATTTACCACAAAATTTATTCTGTTATAAAATGTAAATTTCTGTTGTAATTATAAAGTTATGTATTTAATATGATTATATATTTGACTGTGTAAAAGAGCTTTATAAAAAATGTTTTATATATTTATAAAAAATAATAATAATAAGAAGTTGAAGCCAAAACTGTGTGCTTTGTTTTATTTTCAAAAGTCATAAAATTCTAATTACACTTTTCCAGAATACATGTGAAATATGCAAAGAGGCTTCTCCTGACATAATGTATGTACTAGGCAGCCCACTTACAACTACTCAGCACTTGGGGCATTGTTTTGATTTTGCTCTATAACTTCTATTAATTTTATTTTTTACTGATATCAACAGAAAAGAAGTAAATAAGTTGTAATTTGTAACTTATAGGCATACAATACATATATTTTTTAGTAAAACAAACTTTTGAATACAATTTTCTGATTTACTGGGTATAATTTAAATGCAATTTATAAAAATTGTTAAGAAAGCAATCAAAAATTCATTTGTGTTGATTGATTTCTATATATTTGTAAATACAAATTCAAAATCTTTTACCTCTGACTAAAGTAATTTTGAAAAGAAATGAAGAAATAAATGTAATTGATTGCAACTAATTTCCATAAACAATGGCATAAATAAAAAGTAATAAAAATTCAACATATTCTTGTAAAAGTTAGAAGAACAGTAAAATTATGAAAGATTGCTGATGAAGACACAATTATAAAGGGCTTTTAAGAAATATTGTTAACAAAAACTTGGAAAGAGCAGAGGGTGATGTGCTGTGTAAGGAGGCTGAAGACCATAATATCATGACAATGAAATGAAAGAGGATTGATGAAGATGAAAGTGGTGAAGTATTATTTCAGTGATTTTTCCAAATTTTTTAATGCAAATGACTAATTTTTCATATGCTAAGAATTATATGCAGGTCCTAATTTTTTTTCAAAAAATAAGATGTCAATTTATATTTAGGCCAATATGGTATTATGCAATAGAAAAAATTAATTATTTGGTTAATTGATTATAACTTAAGCTGTTATAAACTCACTTCAACATTGTTCATGAATAAAAGTTTGGATATTTTTTTTTGTAGACTTACAAAGATGATTCAAAGAAAGAATGTGAGAGAAGTAGCATTAGGTATGACACTTTATTTATAATTTTCTGATTATATCTGTACATTGTATATTAACAAACATTATGAAATTAATTACATGTCCATTACAATTAAACTGTTTTTCAATAATTGTGTATTCAATTTCATAAATATTTTAAATTTGATCTTAAACAGTTATCATATTTTTCAAATTTTATAAACAATATAAAAATAATTTAAGCTTTTATTAAATACTTTGAAGTATTTATAGCAACCTTTTTAAGAGACTCATTGAAAACAGAAATTGTATTAAATGGTTATATTATATTAAATTTTCTAAATATTTCCAATATAAATTATATATATTTTTTTAAAAAAAAAAGGATTTTTAACATAGTTTTAAAAAAATAGTTAAAGTAAAAAATCAAATGACAGTTTCAAATTGTAATGATTTTTCATATTTGTGTTGTAATTTTTTCTATTTAATTCATTATCAAAATTATATGTTTTTATATAATACAGTGGGTGATCAGTTAACAAACATAATCTATTCTAAGACCATGTTTTCTATCCAATTTGTTTGTTAACCGATTATTGATTTACCATAGATTTTTGTGGGAATTTGATTAATTCATTCTGGAAACCTTAAAAAATAAATAAATTAATTATATACTTTCTTCCTATGTTTATTAACAAATAACAACAAACTAAAAGAAATCTCTCCATTTTTTTTTATGGATAGCACATCTTTGTTTCTTAAGATGCGATTTTCATTACTTCTTTATCTGCTTGAGTTTTTCTTATTATATTCTGTTTAGCTAAGACTTTGTATGCAACAAGTCTACAGTAGATAATCATCTGCATACAATATCAGACATCTACCCACTCTCTACCTTGGCTATTATCTCTTGCTTAGTTTCTATAGAGGACACAGTTCTTGACACTTCACTCATTTTAGGCCCCATAATATTATCAGTTTTCTTACATAAAAAGTTCAGAAAAACACTTACAAAAATTCAGAGAACAGAAATTAACTAGCACAAAAAAAGGTTATGTATACAACTGTCAAAGTCTTGTTCCATAAGCCATGTAGCGATGCCGTTAAGTTTTACAAATCTCAAATGCAGCATTGCTTCTTCTTGTGTTTGTTCTGTGAGGTGTTCGTTATCCGAACATGTGTTTGTTGTCCAAACATAAAAATCTTTAACAAAAGTGTTCATTGTTCAATTTGTTTGCAGTCCAAACTATTTGTTAACCAATTATCCACTGTATTTTTATGTATAATATATTTGTATTTAAAAAAAATGGTTTTAAATGTTAGGACATTATTCTTATCTAAGAGGACAATTTATTTCTACTCCCAGGCTTGTTGATTCAATGTCTTAATAAAATTCTAACCCTTATATTGATAGTAAAATAGCATTACATTAGGGAAAACAATAGGATTTATTCTATTGGTCATTGTATTGTGGGGAATTGTTAGATGGTGGGCAGAACAAAGCAACTCTACTATATTAATTTTGTAATTTAAGAGCTCAGATATTTGAATGATACAGAATATAAATGAATCAATTAGTATTTATTGTACTCATTGTACTATTGGCTATAATAAGCTTTCTATGAACATGTACGATACATGAATTAAAAGTAAAAGAAAAATTTGTATTTAATATATCTTATATAATAAAAATTTAAATAATATAAAATGTAATAATATATTATTGATATTCTTTATTTATAGCAAAATAAATATCTAAATTTGGTTAGATGTTTGGAATACTTAGATATAATGCTTGAATTATTGGGTAAGATAGATATTATTGCTGATTATATAGATATTATATATATGTTATTGCTATTTTCTTTTGAGAATTTTTACTGATCTGTAATAATTTTAAATCCACTCCTCTGAGATTTAGAAAGAATAATAATTATGAGAGAGCAACTCAAATACTGTTCTTAGTTAATTATCTTGACTTTTGCTATAATTTCCTATTCAAAACTGTTAAAAGTTACACAACTTCATTTATGGAAATTATGAAAAAAGCAGGATAGCAACTTTTATCATAGTGATGCAAGATATATCTTGTGTTACTACAAAAAACTAAAAAAAGAATAATTGTAAAGGCTACAAAGTTATAAGAATTGTAAAATACTTGATTCTTCTATCTATTTCAATTATATCATTGACACATGAAAACCTTTTAAGTGTCACTATGGGTCAAATACACTATATAATAGTTATGCGGGCCTTTGGAGTATGCATATTCTGCAAAAATCTTGAGACATTTGACCAATAGAATTAGCTATACTGTTACTTGTAATAAGCTCATGTATGCAGTCTGCATTGCTGAGGTAACAAAGTAAACAACAAAATTTTTTTCCATTTGTTGAGTTTAGTCAGTGAATCTAGGTAATTACATGATTAAAACTTTATAATGAATCTTAACATGGGAAAATCTTATGCTGTAAAATGCAATATTAACTGCCTTTTGTTGCTGTTGTAAAATTTGATTTTTGGAACTTTACAGGATTTTGTGTGTATATGATGTGATAGTTTTTAAATTAATAATGATGTTACAGGAAATACTTATTGTAAGAAGTTTTTAAGAGAAAATCCCACCAGAGGGCGAGAGAGAGAGAAAAAAGCAGGGGCACTATTAGTTTTTTTATAAGGAGAAGAAGAAAGATAGTGGCCTAATCATAATTAATTGTTATAATTAAACTTTGTTCAGTTTTTACAATTGCCTTTATCTTATTCGAAACAGTAGTACACTCCATAAGTACGAGTTGTACAATATTGGTGCAGTCGACAACATTAGCTGATGTGCTGCTACCAACCACATCTACAAGAAATGAGCCAAATGAGTAAAAAGTCTTGAAGTTTAAGATTGAAGTTAAAAGTGTAAAATTTTGATTGTAACCAAAACAAAGTTAGAGTAAAGCTTAAGAGCTAACTCTAGGAAGCAATAGCTTAAAGATTTGGCACTGATACTAGAAAAACTAAAGAGTTTAAGCTGACGACTATGATTTGGTTAGAAGCTAATATGTATGGTTGAAGAAATTAAATATGATTTAGAAGGAAGGACCATTGAATATTTGAAAGAATATTTGAAAGAGGAATTGGAGAAAAGGCAATTATCATGAATTGGTATGGTAAAAAATCTGAACTAATAGAATGATTAACTAGCACAATGTTAAGTGAAAGGGATAGTTTTAATGAAACTAGCCGGGCAAAAGAGGAATAAGGAGTGAATGAATCTTCTTCCGAAGGTCAAGCTGTAAATCTAAGTCCTATGAGTATGATACAAATGCTAAAGGGAAAAAGTAATATTATTAATAGATAATCAGCAACAGGCAGTGCAAAACTCAAAGGAGACAGTTATTGAAGTCCAAACTGCCACTGAGTTCACTGGTATTGACATGACAAAGGTGAAACCAATTGGATTTGTTGATTTACCTATTTGGTTGCAAGACCAAGTCACCACAGTGAAAATAGCAGTGTTTGAGAACAACCCAGTTCCTTTGACTTTATTAGATTGGATTGGCCAAGCAGGAGTGAAAATGAGGTTGAGGAAAGATAAATGTGAAATAGTCACAAGAAATGGTAATGTGATTCCAGCATAACTTCCCATTGAAGAAGCAACACAAGAATCATGTTTGTTACTTCCTAGCACTGGAGCAATACATACAACAGAGAGTAAGAGTTGTTTGAAGACTAAAAGAAAACTTGGATGCAAACTCACTTATATAGCTTTAAAGTTACAGGAATATGAATATGACATTAAGCATAAGAAAGGAGTTACCAACATACTATCTGACATTTTATCTAGAAATACAAGAATTGCATGGAGAGGAGAATCTCTAGTGAAATTGAATGTCATCAAAGCATCGACCCAAAATTAGACAGCATAATTAGAATATTGAAAGACGGAAATCTCTCACTAGAAGAGCAATGTAAGATCACCTCTACAAAGACTCGATTTGTGTTACAGAATGATATATTATATCACTATGATGTTCAAGATATTTCTATCTTCATTTACAACTTGTTGTACTACGAAAACTGAAACCAAGATCCTGAAAGCCAATCACAACAATGTTGTAGCTGGCCACTTTAATGCAGAGAGAACCTTGTTGAGAATCCTAGATCACTATTGGTGGGAACACATAATGAAAGAAGTTAAAAGTTATGTTAACAGTTGTCAAGTGTGTCAAATGAATAATGATTATCCATTGAAAAGCAAAGCTTTCTTACAAAGGACATACCATCATGGCCCTTTGAAATGTTAGGTCTTGATCATATTTGAATACTTCCACCAAGATCAAGAAATTCAAAAAGATGGATTTTGATATAGATTATTTTACCTGATACAGTAGAACCTCAAAAACTCGGCTCTCGATAACCCGGCACTCCAGATAACTCGGCCACACCCTGGCAGGGCAAAAAAAATCCTTAGTTAATTAATTTTCATTATAGACAGCTTTATAAAATTATAAAAGCTCTCATAAAGTATTTTTCTGAGGTCTGTCTTATCAGGTAAATTACTGTACACAGTGTATTCATTAATTTTCATTTTCATGTAGTAAAGGCTGTATGCCTTCATAAAGGCATAGAGCCTTTACTACATGAAAACTTTTCCTTTGTTTAAGGGTATTTGGGCAGTTTATTCTCTGTTATATTCTGTACAAGTAAATACTGTACAAGTACAGTACAGTATTTTCGGAGGAAACACTCGTACTTATTTTTTTTAACCCCATTCCCGATAACCCGGCATTTTCACAAACTCGGCCACCCTTCGGTCCACATTAGGCCGAGTTTTCGAGGTTCTACTGTATTTAATAGCTTTCCCTGTGAGTAGTTTAAGCACGGAGACCACATTGAGAGTTTTACAAGAGAATGTATTCAATGTGTATGGATTTCCAAAGATGATCATTTTGGATCAAGGAACCTCTTTTGTGTTCAAAGATTTTGAGAATTTTCTGTAGGACCATGGCATTCATCATTTCCGAACTTGCGCTTTTCACCTCCAAGCAAACAGACATGTGGAGAGAACAAATCATACTGTAGAAGACATCTTTAGGAAATATGCTGATGACGATATCACAGCTTCGAAAAAGACGTGTATCAGCAGCAGTGTTTGCTTATTACATGACAAAACACAAGTCAACTCAACAAAGTCCTCTCTTTACTTACTGTACTCCGTGGTTTTGAGCCAAGAACACCAGAAATACAAAAATTAGGAGAGGGACAAACTCTGAAAGAAGCTGAGAATAGATTGACTGAGCTGTTTATTAACCGAATACAAGCAGTTGAAAATCTTACTCAAGCTTATGATCAAAATAAAACATCTTTTCATAAAAATAAGCATGAATCTAAGATTAAGGAATACGATTTAGTGTTATACCATTGTTTTAACAGACAAATTTTAGAGCAAATGGAAAGGTCCATATATAGTAAAGAGGATAGTTAACCCCATTACCTATCTCATTGAGGGAATTCAAAATGATGACAACAGGATCTTACACGAGTTAGATTCATCCTTATCATCTAAGAACTGATCAAGAAGACTACATGCAAATGAAGCTATGAAAAGAAACTGTTATTAATGTCACTAGAAGATAGAGAAGAATTTTAAACAGAAGCTATTGTTTTGTCTAAAAGCAGTTGTAGCCAATATGTAAGAAGTTTTTAAGAGAAAATTCCGCCGAGGGGCGAGAGAGAAAAAACAGGGGTCACTAGTAGTTTTTTAGAAGGAGAAGAAGAAAGATGGTGGCCTAATCATTGTCATTAATTGTTATAATTAAACTTTGTTCAGTTTTTACCATTGCTGCCTTTATCTTATTCGAAACAATAGTATACTCCATAAGTATGAGTCGTACATTTATATTTTAATTAATTAATTATTAATTAATTAAAATAAATTCTTAAGTTGTTAAATCACTTTTAATGATTATGAAAATGTTCTTTCCATATTTTTTATTTGAATTTTGTTTTAATTATTATTTAAGTTGAATTATTTTCTTATTCAAAATAAATGTACTTCTTCTATTAAGCAAACAATTTTATTATTATAAATTTTTAGTATGAAAATCAGAAGCTATATGTTCAACCAGTAATTGATTTTTCAATGAAATTTACAACAATGTGAAGAAAATTTCTATATTTTCCAGACATGAAGCAACAGTTTCTCAAGATGGTCATAACTTATCTACTTCACTCAAAGAAGAGAAAAGAATATCTAATTCTGACAGGTTTTCAGAACCTGTTAAGGTAATTAATGACAAGTTACAATCTAATTTACAAAATATAGCAGGAAGTTCAGCAGCAGCTTCAAGTAGCAAAATTAAGAATCCTCAGCCATTGAATGTTTCAAAACCAACTGGATCGAGTTATCCTCAGCCAGAAAGAAAACTTTCTTTTGCTGAGGAAATAAAAATAGCTGTGCTGGAATGGCAGACCAAAGGTATGATTGAATAAGCTTATAATTATTTTATTTTATTTTTAATCTTTTTAAACAAATAATACATTGTAGGAAGAAATGATAACGAGCAAGAAATAAATGATATATCTTCAGTTGCCAAATCTCAACCATCACAAAATTTAAATGAATGTCAAATTTCTCAGGAATCAAGTGAAAACAAAATTCCTGAACAAAGTGTAACTCCAAGCAGGGTAGTTATATCTGATAGATCTACAATTCCAGTAGAAATAACACAAAGAGGAGGAGGAGGTGGTAAGTTACTTTTTTAGAATAACTTAACTAAGATTGATTAGCATTCACAAACACTGAAAATTCTGAGACGTGCTAATTTCATATAAATTTTTACTTTTTAAGTGATTGGTCTGAAGAATTTTTCAGATTTGGCAAAAATGTGTTGTATATATTCCAAAATATCAAATAAAAAATTGATAGAAAAGAAATCTAGATGAAATAATAAATATAGAAATGTTTATCTATTGAAATTATACTTTAAATATACTAAAGGTATAAATATCAACACCCAGGAGGACTAATGGGCTTTCGATGAAAATGAGGAATATGATAGCATACAGTATATGAAGATAGTATCATCATTTGTATAATATATAATTTAAAGTTGAAAAATTACAAAGTTCTGGTGGAGATTAGAGATGAAGTATGTAATATATTGATTCTCATGTAGCAATACATTATTAAATATGGTGGAGTAGGCTGCATTAATCTCATGAGAAATACTGTGCCATTAATTATGGAATTATTACTCCAGCTATTCAACAGTTTTTATTATACCACTAGAGCATTATTGAAACTGCTAATCTGGCATATCTAAAATGTTCCATGGAGGAGAAGTTCAAATGAATGGTCTAATCATATGTTTTATACATTCTGATTTTGGAGGTACTGATAACAAGCACAGGCAGTATGGGCACGTATTAATCTGCTGTAAATGGATTTCATATATTGAGAATTGCTTGCAATTACAGAATCTCAAAGAATGACCAGCTTTGATCAAAATGTTTGATTAATTTCATTCCAAATCAGAATCTTTGTTCTGAAGTTGCAAGTACTGGGAAGCATTCCTATCATCATAACAATGCTTAACTATTTGTTTTCTATTTATTCTATTATTCTATTTATTTATTTATTCTATTTTGAACAGAATAACAATTCATCATTGAATGCCATAATGCTCAATTGGTATCCAGTTCGAATTCATCTTGTTAGCACACTATTGAAGATATTTATATGTGACCTGGTTTTACTGTCAAACTCAGTACTGGATGATACATAAGCTTTCAGTGAAAGTTGTAGGAGTATTGTTTACTTCCTGGGTAATAAGTCTGAAGTGTAACTTGCTGCCAATGCTATGCTAAGTGACTAACGTTGACAAATCCTATCTTGAACTTACTGTAAATAATGATTGTTTCTCTGTGGTTGTGAACAGTCATTATGATCTTCATCTGCAGATGGCAGGTCTCAAATCCACTGGTGTCATGTGCATTGAGTTATGACCAACATAAAGTGCAACTTTAATGGATAAATCTGCTTCCTTGTATTCAGTGATTGATTTCAAAGTCAAATTGCTGATATTCCTATCTACATTTTTAATGGCATTTTTATCAGTTAATAACAATTTCCAAAGATGTTTTCCTTTCAGAAAGATTTTGTTTTTTGTATGTACTATACAAATGTTACTTTGCATGTAGAGAAGTATTGAAATGGCTACAATTAATAATTTGTGTACTCTTACAAATACCATAGCATATGCAAACTCTATAAAAGTTTTCTAATTGTTTTAATGATGTAATATTTTTTTATTGTAATGTATTTTAAAGTAAACTTTATTGATGACATCAAAGAAAAAAATATTGTATAGAAACAAGAAAACAGAAAACAAAGTTACAATGCTACATACAATGATGATAGTTGATAGAAATAAGAGACATCAATATTTTAGTCTAAATGATGTAAATTTAAATATATATAATGATGAATTTTATTTCAACTCGTATTTTCAAATTTTTTAATTGTTAACTAAGAAATTAATTATTATTTTCAAAATTAATGATGTGTTGTATGCAGGTAAATTCATCCATTATGAACTTAGTGATGGATTATAAATAATCTGATTTCAGTTCCATTATCTATACTACTATATAAAGAGACAACGTATTTTTCGTTTGTGACCACTAACCGTGAAAACTACTGGACCAATCATTACCAAATTTTAACTGTAGCATCTTTATGACCCCCGGAATGTTTTCCACTAATCAAACCTGCAGATTTTTTATTAATTAAAACATAATCATTAAAAGATATCATCTAGAGTTAAGGCTTTTATGTCCAACAGATGGCGCTACGAGTATGACGCCCTAAGTTTGCTTTTCTGTGAAGATGAACTAAAGCAGATCATCTTCTATCTATCTATATAAATAAAAATGTAATGTTCATTTGTTCCTACCAATTCCTTTGAAATTTTCACACAACGCTGCATTCGAATACGCACGTGTTTTTATACATGTCGAAATTCCCCCCACTGGGGGAGATGAACAGGAATAAGGCTTACCGTAAAGAACTCTGCTTCTATTTCTACTATTTTAGATGCGGTTTTTTGCGTTTTTGATTGCGTTTTAATAGGGTATGTCAACAGAATATACACTAAAAAGGGATTTTTCAATATTCCCCCCATGGGGGAGAGGGACAGGATTAAGGCTTACTTTGAAGAACTTGGCTTCTATTATACTATTTTAAATGCAGGTTTTTGCGTTTTTGATTGCGTTTTAATAGGGTACACTAAGAAGAAATTTTTCGAAAAATTCCCCCCACATGGGGGAAGTGTTATACATTTATAATAGATACATTTTGAGCCACAACAACGCGTGGCGGGGTCTGCTAGTATTCTATATAAATGTTTCTTTTAATAATAATTATACTGAATCTGCCATTTGTTTCTAATTTATAACTAAATAAAATGAAACTGTAATAATTGTAATGGCTGTTTTAGGAAGTGTTTCATTTTTGTTTTTCAATTATTGCCAAATCATATTCAAAGAATACAAAAAAAGTACTTTTGACTCTGAGCATCACATATTTGCAATTTTTGAGATTTGTTCTTATAATAAAAAGTGTATATAGTATTTAGCAAATATATATCATAACATAGTTCAGGATTGTTTATTATTTTATTTTGAAATTATAACAACTACTTTTCATTTTAAATGTGACACATTGCTTTCTTTTATGTCTTGTGGTCACTAAAAGCTTTTAACATGTCATCATAGATTAAATTAAGCTCACAGTTGAGGAATTGATTTGGATTTAAATTGAAGTTTCTCAAAGAGACAGATATATCTTAAATTAATTAATCACCTCAGTTACCTATACCATTCAGTCAATTAATATTGTTATCAGTAGTAGGGTTTATAATTCATAGTTATAATAACTTTTTTAGATTATTACTTAGTGAAATTATGCTGAATCAATATGCTGAAATAGATATATTTTATCATTATTAACTTAGTATTACACTATGTAACATCTAGAATAGAACAATAGAAAATAAATACTTAACTGTTAATGCTTTAGTTATTTTTCATTTATGTAAATAGATAAAAAGTTTAATAAACTATGTTGTTTGTTTATACAATGTGAAATATATTCTGAATTTTTAGATAAATGTGTAATTGGATTTTTTATTTTTAAATAATTAGAAAATTTCATATATTGATATAAGCATTGTTACTGTTAATTTTATTGGAATGTGTTTAGTGTCTGTCAGGAAAAAACAGCAATTCTTTAAATATTACAGATCAGTCTCTTGTGCAGCATGAAGCCAAATTAGCAGTTAGTAAAAAATCTCCAAGCCAAAGTATTGAGGGTGCTATTTCAAAGGTAATGTTTTGTTATTTGCATGACAACTAATTGGTAATTCTAATTAATTTTAGAAATTCTACAAATTTTAAAGTATTTATATTATAAATGATATATTCAAAAAAGTATTCTAACTAAATATATTAATAACAACAACCTTAATGATTTTTATGTGAATTAAGTTTGTGTCTGTTTTAAGAAATTCAGATTCTAATATTGGATAAATGTTTTTTGAAATAATAATCAATATCAAATTATTTATTAGAAAAATTGTAAATTAAAAATTTTCTGGAATATAAAAAAATTATCTAAAAAAATCATAATTTTTACACTTTATTTCTATATAACTTTTTTGTATTTTATACTTTTGTTACTATAGTCACAAGAAATGGAACATAGAAGAATTATTCCCCATCATATAAATATTGAAAGAAGCAAAAAGCCTCATCATTGGCAAGGTGGTCCCATCCATCTCTGGACGATCACACAAGTAGGACAGTGGTTAATAGCTATGGGTCTTGAGCAATACGTCCAAAAATTCCGAGAAGCCAACATCAACGGACAAACCTTACTGCAGTTGGACAGTTGTCGTTTGAAGGTTTGTTTCATTTATTCTTTTACTTTTATAGTTTCCTTTCTCCTTATTTCTCTGTTTTGTCAAAAATATTTCATCAATGGTTTCCAATTTAGAGTTTAGGAATAACGAATAGTCACGACAGATCTGTGGTCAAGAAAAAGCTGAAAGAGATTAAGTCGACTTTTGAAAAAGAAAAAAGAGCTTATGAAAAAGAACAAAAAGTAAAAGAGAAACTTCAGAAGAAAGCAGAAAAAACTCTGAAGAAAAAATAATACATTAAGAAATAGTATTTTTTTCTTATTGGTCTTTTATTAGATTTCAGATAAAAGTTTAAAAAATATTTGGGAAAAATATATTTATTATATATCAATATACATACAAGATACTATAATCTTAGTGATATTATTCGAAATTACTATACATAAACTTCATTCTTTTGTGTAGTAATCTCGAATTACATCAATGAATAAATGCACAAAATTCTTTCTAAAATACCAAATTTACTAATAAATTTGATAGTTTCTGTATATTAAAATTTAAAATTAAATATTATACAAGATAATTTGTTTAAAAAAACCAAATTATAAACTTTTACCAGAATTTAAATCTATAAATTTGAGATTTGGAATTACAGATTTTTATCTTATTTTTTGTTTTATTTCTTACAAAACGTTTTGTGTACAGTAAATTTGTCACATAGAAATGATTGTTAGATTATGTACATAAAATGACAAAAAAGTTTAAAAAGTTTAAACTGTAGATACAGAATAATGTATTGTATAGATATATATATATATATATATACACACCAAAAAAACGAAAATTTCAAACTTTTTGCTCAAAAATGTGCAAAATTACTTTCCTCTTTCCCATTAAAAATGTTATATATAACATGTAAGATCAAATTTAATTTTGAGAAAAATTAATGCTCCAAACTTTTGAGTAAAAAGAAAATATTTTTGGATGTGTGAGCAAATTTTAATTTGATATTTGTAAATGGAAGAAAGGGAAATGGTTAAACACCATCTTTATTTTCTTATTTTGCATTTATTTGAAACTAAACTTTGTTTTCTTTAAGGGAGCAAGAAAATTGGATGCTACGGCAGAGCCCATTTGCAAAATCTAATGGCGATCTGCCTGCCGTGGTCATCCATTCCATACATCTCTTATGATGTATTTAGTTTGTTACTTTAATATAATTCCAAATACTTTTTCCATTTATTTTTTTATTAATGGGACCATTTTATATTAAAATTCCTTTTAAAAATTTTCTGTTCACATTCACTCAATTCCATTAAAAATTTCCCTGGATTTCCCATTAATGGAATTGTTTCCTGCTAGGAAACAGAATTCTGACTACTTGGGTCACAGAATTTGTATTCATGACATATGTATGAAGTACAGAAAAGTGTTAATAGTAAATATAAGCAAAACTTGTAAATATGTACTTATTAATTTTAAAAATATATGCATACAATTGTGTGTATAGCATGAATAGATTTTTTTTGTGTCCAAAATTTATATCTCCTTCAACTGTATCCAATATTGTTACTTTAAATTCATAGATGTTATTTGTCAAAACACTGTGATGATATCTCATTATTACATTATTTGTAAAAAGTTGTGGTTGTATCAATTTACATTAATTTATATTTTGTAGCAGTAAAATCAACAAAAATTTACTTAAAAAACTGAAAAAATGTTTTTTGTGTATATACGTGTTTTCTTTTATGTTTTAAGTGATCCTTTCAATATTTAAAATAAATTATAACATTTAATTAGGTTTAATATATTTATTTTTTTAGTACAATACATTTTTATATATTATAATTTATTGCAAGAAAGATTTGTATGTGTTGAAACTGCAACAAAGAAAAATGTTTCTGCAAAATATGTTGCTTAATATATTTCTGGCCATTAAATTTACCACTCTGCTGAATGGATACCATCAACGTAATATAACAAGATTGTTTTAAATCAGTTCAAAATTTTTACACAAAAATATTTTGAAAGTTCTAAAATAAAAGTATAATAGATTGTCAATTATCTGGCATACCCTGCAGAGTGATGGCCTATGCACTTCTATTTTCATGAAAATAATCGTCATAAATCCCATTTATTTTGGTTTTATTTCTGTGTACAGTATTGCATTCAGCCTGCTGTATAACTTGTTTGCTTGACTTCAAAAAAGAATCTGTACCAAAGAGCAACAGTTTGCATCATTCTGCACCTTGTTTGCAGTTTGCACCTTTAAACTGGCTTTGGGCTTATACACACACTGCAATTCTCTAATCCTGCACCTCTTCTGTGCAAAATAAGAATAATGAATAAGAAACTGCATAAGAATAATGGCACTAGAATAGAATTTTATTTTCCATTATAGTCATAATTAAAAACATATCTTAATGTCTTATATTACACTCATTGCCATAAAAATTAGAGCATTAAGAAGTTGAAATCTAATGAAATTGTATGTGTCAGTGTAACGGTGATATAAGTGATTACAACATGGAAAACAAAAAGATTATTTATTACAGGAAAAACTACAAATGAAAGGAGGTTCTAGTACCCTGTTGGGCCACCTCTACACCTCTAGCATGAATACACGATGTGATACGGGTGGGCATGGAGGCATACAGGTGCTGTATGGTGTCCTGAGGCATCACATCTTAGTTCCCAGTTGCTGCAAGTGGTCCTCTAGTTTGTCCAAACTGCTAGGCTGTCTAACTTGGTGTTCCAGATGATCCCAGACAAGTTCAATTGGTGACAAATCAGGACAGGCAGGCTGGGGAATTGTGGCTATGTGCAAAGGCAGTCTTGTGACGTCCTTGCTGTGTGTAGTCAAGCATTGTCCTGTTAAAAAATGGCTCTTGGGAGCCATGCCTTGAGAGAACGTAGCTGCAGGATATCACTGTTAGGTGTTCATGGTCCCTTGGATCACTACTAGAGGTGACTGACTGTTATATGTGATGGTACCAGTCACCTGTGAGGGCAGTATGTTGCTCCAAAGCATAGGCAGGATTGAGGCATACACCATGGGATCTCCACATGAACACAGGTGTCATCAGTGTCCAAACTGAATCTGACTTCATTGCTGTAGATGACCCTGTTCCATTTTCCATTCTGTTGCAGTCCAATCCTTTCAGCACGTCCATCATTTCAAATGGTGCGACGGTGGTGTCAATGGCAGCACGCAACACCAAATGTTCTCACCCAGGTGCCTCGAAATGTATAGACCAGGGTTGACCTTTTTCCCTAATGGGCCAAATTAGAAATTTAGGTAGATTCAATGGGCCACAAAGGTACTTTATATAAACATATGCTTTTAAAAAGTTCAAAATGTAAATATCTGAATATCAAATTTTAATAGAAATACAGTAGAGTGTCGTTTATCTGAATCAATTGGGGACTCGGGTTGTTCGGATAACTGATTATATATGAAAAAATTTATTAACCTATCCCATGTTGAAATTTTTCTCCATTGTGTGTTGCTTTGCGTTGAATTTTCATCGATGTTAAGCTTAACGTAAATTTTTTAAAATAATAATCATGTCTATTGTATTGTTAAAAATAATTTCTTTATTTTGTACAAACAAAATAAATATATTGTAAAATATTAATATAAAAACAAAAAATTATATTTTGGAAGTTAATCTAGTATCAAAAATGTTTGATTCAGCACGACACAGTCCGACTGGAACACTTCCGATTAACAGACATTCCGGTTGATTGGCTTTCGGATAAATGACGCTCTACTGTATATAATACAAAAAATACTGTATTATTGACAGTAAAAAAAGAAATACAAAATAAAAAATAAATTCAATGCAATTTTTAACATTGCCTTTTATAATGTCAATATCTGCTTTTATGATACTGGTTTTAATTCTAAGAATGTTAGTTAAATGGGAATCACAACCTGTTTCTTCCAGCAGTTTTGATGTTTTTAATGCATGAAAAGAATTGTTCACAACAGTATGTACTACCCCACATGCATATCCTTGATGTGCTAATTTTTATGGCAATGATCATGAATAAATTATTTTGAGAAACCAAAGATCTTAGAGACTGACAGTAACAGATACTTTATTTGCAGAAAGTATCATTAAATTATTATTTGTAGAAGATGAAATTATGAAGCAGAAAATGTGGAGACTAGATGAATTCATTAGCTTTGATCAATAATTTTTTGTTTTTGTAAAAAGTAGTTGCAGGAAGAATGTTTTGATTGATCATCTCAACATTAATGGAGCAATCTGAGAGAATTTAAATTATAGTATGAACATTTAATAGGAAATTCAGTATTTCACTGAATTAATTTTTCTTTGAATAATAATAAACTTTTTTTGTTTAATAAACTTTAATAGATGACAAGACTAAATAAATACTTAGGGAATTTTATTTTGAGAAATTTAGCAGAGAAAAAAGTAAAATTTTACTATTATATTTTGCTGCACTTAAGCATTTGAAACAAGATACAGTTTGTGTTTCCATAACAAAAGCACATGGCTAAAGTAAATAAAGCAATTCTAATCTCGCATAGGTTTGTTTTCCTGTTGCCATTCATGTAACAGATGAAACCTGTATTAAAATGCCAAACAAAAATGGATGCAACCAAAGTTTTATAAGTATTCAAAGGTAAAATGACTTGCACACATGCTAGAAATATAAAAGTCAGTTTATAATAATATTTAGAAATTGGGAAAATTCAAATTGGGTCAAATGATTATACACTATTAATTTTTGTTTATCATTTTTATACTAAAAATGTAATATTTTTTTTTTTACTCTTTCTGCCCCATGGACACTGAGGGCTTTTCCCATACTGGTTTGGCTGGGTGCAAGATGGAATTGAATGTATTTGGGGCCAATCGTCCCCAAAAACTTGATTTTTTTGACTACCCAGATCCCCAGAGTGGTAGGCTGATGCCCTAACCACCTTTGTCATTTGGCTGGCTAACAATGTAATTTAGTCTGAAAGTGTATATCTAGACTAAGATATTTGAATAACTTAATATTCAAATGTAAATTGGATAAATGATTACTACTAATTAATTTCCCATTTAAAACTGATTTTTACTTTCCCAGTTGTTATATACAACAGATGTATGGTGATCAGTCAAAAAATGACCCTCAAAATTTTTAATTTTTGGATTCAGGACCTTAAATGTTTTTGCATGTTTTCAATGTTTTAGAGGGTTAATCTGTGGATTGGTGGCAGAATTTTTTTCACCCAATTTAGAGCTTAATTCTCTCTGCAAAATTTCAGAAAATTTTAACAGGTTTGTGTATTAGGAGCATTGATGCTATTAAATTTTAGTGGTTGTTAGGTCAAGAGGATGGGATGATAAAGGGTGGTCATATCTCAAATAGGACCAAGTTCTTTATTCAGTTCATATATCACAATGACACTAATTTTACTGGCAAAAAAATTTAAAATTGTAGTGGCACCATCTGTTATATACAAAACTTTTTAAAATGCCAAAAAATTTAATATAATAATTTTAACGCTAAAGATGAGTTGCACAAAAATTGTAAATGTCAGTGTGTGTCATATCCAAATTTTCACTACATATATTCTGTCATTTGTTGTTTAAATTGCTTTAAAACTATTTTTACAATATAATTTATTTTCTTGTGAAAATAACAATAATTCATTTTATATTCAATTTTTATTTATACATTTTTAAAGAATAATTAAAGAAAACCAATTTATGATAACTTCTTTAACAAAAAAAAATTCAATTTTTATCACTCAACAATCCTGAAAACTTTTTCAATATACAAACATAACTAAATGCAAGAACACATACTTCATTTTTAGAATATTCTCTAAAAAAGTAAATTATTAAATTAGCTGCAATAAAAAAAAACTTCAAAAGAATATAATTATTTTAAGTGAAAATGACCTTTTTTTAAATCTACATTCTTGTTTCAATTGCATTGAAACTTTCATCCATAACAGATTTACAGAGTTGCCTTTACTACAGCACTGTTTCACATTTCATGTGTCTGAAAATGTACACGAATAATGTACCTTTATTGTTAACTATCATTACATTGTTGTTTATTTATTTACATAATATTGGAAAATTCCAAATATGTTGAAAATTAGTAAAAATAATCTGTTTTGCGCTATTTTTTAAGTCAAATAATAAAAATGCAATATAAATATACAGCAAATTGTACTTATTCACACTTTGTTTATATTTTTACCCAGAGGAAAAAATTAACATTTTCATAAAATACAAGAATTTAATTATTCTATAGATTATGGTTTTCATTTTTACATTTTATAGGACAAAATTTTTTCTTTTAAAATATTCTTTTAAATCTACAAATCTGTATTTTAGGAATGTTGTCCGAATATTCAATTCGAACGTTATGCTATTAAATATTACTTGTGTATCTCATTGATATTAAACTTTGATAGATGTTCTTCCTTAGGAAGTTATTGAATTGTATATTTCAAAATTTATAAACAAGCAGTTTTATAATTCTAGATATGATAAAATTTCTGTTTTTGATGGATAAATACAACAAAACACGACGTTTCTTAAATATGTCATTTTGTACCCATTTAAATTGTGGCCAACACGCAGCTTTTCCTTCGTTTTCTTTTGATGCAACAAACGCCAAAATTACTACTACACGTTTGCCTTCCAATATTGCACTAAGATTTAACTTTAAGGCTCTTCTTGGTTATGGGCACTGCAAAGTGATCTTCCTACAATTTTTGGGCCAAAGACAAGTGGACTGTCATTTGGAGATGGGAAATCACATTTTGGTTAAGGCTAGTTTATTAACAAATTTTCATTTCAGTAGGACGTGAAAAATAAGTTCCAGAACAATAGGATTTTCGTGATTAGAAGTAGAGGCACAAGTGATGACTGGAATTAGAGCACTGTCTAAAGCATTCATGTACATACTTGGAAGAGGTTCTCCCGCTGCACCAATATCATATCCAACCTATAAAATATAAAAACAATGCTTTCATAATCTATAAAAAAGATATTTATTAAAATGTATTATAAAATTTACTTTATCAGCATCCAGCGTTACTCTTAATCCTATTTTATTAAGTTCTGCTTCGGCTAGCCATTCTAAATGTGGAGTTAATGCTTGACAGCAAGCCTGAGCTACAGCTTCTGCTAATCTACTAGGATCTGCTGGTTCAGTTCTATGTTGAAATTTTATATAGTTAATACTTAGATTGAATTATAGAATAGAATAGAAATATTATTAGAATAGTTAATAATAATAATTTTAAAACTTACTGTTGCCTGTTTCCTGATTCATCCATCTGCAAGAAAAATACTTCTGTCCATCTTATTAAATGATATTCACCAGCATAATCTGTTCCGGTATGAATGCGGATACTCTGAATGCCTTCGAGACTTCTGTTATCAATTGGACTTCTAACTCTAAGTAGTAATGAAACTAATGTAAGAACTAATGAAACACATTTAAAAACATTTATTTAAAAATAAATAAATATTTATTTATTACCCTATATTAAATGATTTATCATCTTTTGTCCATTGTAACAAAATAACTTCAGGTTGTTGAGCATTAGATAATCCACATCCAATAGTAAAATCTTTCATATCTCTAAGAGCATTTTTTAAATCTGACATTGTATCTGAAGGTATTTGCACCAATAAACCATCTTCAACAATACTAGATTTTGCAGTTAATCCAGTTGATGCTTTCAAAGCTCCACTAAATACAATAAAACTGGATCCAGTCACTAAAATATTAACATAAGAAAATAACAGATTAATTCAATAATAATTCAAAATATATTTAAAAAAATAGAAAATATGCTTATAATGTCTAGTTAATAAAGATGAAAACATTAATAAAAATATAAGTTACAGAGATGACTCTGTAGTCTAAATTAGTCTCTAAATTAAAATTAACTGAGGAAAATAATCTGATGATTGAAAATTAAAAATAATATAAAAATATTATAGTTTGGAAAACTATTATTATTAAAGCCAGAATTTAAAAGAATTTAATTGTATTCATTTCTAATTGATTTTATATTTATACCAAAGATGGTTTTGCATGAATAAATAAAAACATTCAAACTATTTTACATTTTATTGCAGTAAAATAATTGATAAAATCCATATTACTTATTGTGATGTCGTCAAAATGCTGAGCTGCATTTTTTAATCATATTTTAATTTAAAATAAAAAATATGAATTGAAATCATGTGACTTCAGATCCAGATTGAAAGTTTGTGTATTGTTAATTGAGGTCTGGCCCTTAAGTTTTCCATATCTGATCTAGATTTTATTAATGTATAATTTTAAAATTATCCTGCATAAATTGCTAAAAAAGTTAGATATTTCAGGTAAAAATTTTCTTGCATAGTACAGCAATTTATCTTGGTAGCCCTGAAACCCAAGTGTCTTCTCATCCCAAGAAAGCACAGCAAGTCTGGAGCAATGTGAAGTCAATGTCAATCCTCTTTGTTAACAACAGGAATTCTTTTGCAAAAATTTGTCCTGTAGTGCAGACTGTCAATACTGATTACTACATTACCATGCTTTGTTGTCTAAATGATAATGTAAGGCACATATGCCCTGAATTATGGAATACAGGAAACTGGATCATTAACACACATATCAAAATGCAGCAATTTTAGGCAAAAAAAATAATAATATAGCTAGTGTCTCTCACTTTTCCTTATTCTCTTAATCTGGCTATCTTTGACTTTATGAACTCCCAGGAATCAACATGAAGTTCAAGAATTGCAGATCTGAGACCACTAAAGAGATCAAAGATTACTTCACACACTGACAAAATTAACAAGCTTCCAGAGGACATTCACTGGCAGGAATGCTGGGACTGTTGCATTCAGTCCCATAAGATTACTTTTGAGGAAATGGGAAGGTGATTACTGAAATATGAAGTAAATATACAACTTTCAACATAGTCAGTTTGGAAACTTTTTGATCTCATCTCATATATATGCATCAAATATTAAATTGTTTCTATACATATTAATCTAAAGTCAAACTTTTATATAATTTATTTAACTCATTATCAGAAGCGATAAAGTTCAAATTAAAAACTTTTTATTTTCAAAAATTTAATTCAGTTTGTTCAACATTACAAATGAAAATAATTGAAACTCACCTCTTCTAGGAGTATTTTGAATATTAATGGCTTGAGTTTGATAATTTCCATCTTCATTTTGTATGCAGACTAAATGAGAATCTGCTTCAGATGAGAAATTTGATGCCAAAGCCAAAACATGATCATTGCTATTACTTAATACTTTCATTACCTATATAGATAAGAGAAATATGAAATAAAATAACATACCAAGATGTAAATTTTAAAATGTGTACCTTTTCATAAGTGTTACGGGGGAAATTGACAGTAGTATTTTTATCTTCCATATGTATAAAAACTCCAGGTATCATAGGAATAGTAAACTGATAATTCCGAAAATCCTGAAATAAATTCTTAATTTGAACTACTAATTTTAATTTAAAAACAACTAAGAAAATTTATTTATTAACTAATGAATTAATTTTAACTATTTAAATATGGAAATACCTACAGCCAGTAAATTCATTATGGTATGTCCTATTTCACAATATACAGGTTTTCGATATCTTACACTGATAAGTGGACATGGATAATCTAAAAATTTTAAAGTAATATTTATAGATTTCATTGTTTAAATCTAAATAAAATAATAAAATGTAACTGAAATGTAAATGACTTGCATCTGAATTCTGCTCCTAATCTAAGCATAAGACGCAAAGGAAATACTTTCACCCATGGAACTTCCCATTTTTGAATGAGTAAGGCAATCAAAAAAGGTGCAGAAGGAAGCACTAATTTCCCTAGGCACTGAAATGTATGACGAACAAATAAAAAACCACTGTGCTCTCTACTTCCAAGAATTCCTTCAGGAAATAACAAATGGCCTAAATTTCCAACCGTCACACCTAAATAAAATTAATATTTAAATAAATTAAAAATTGCTTGTTTTATTTATTTCACTCTCCAGCAGATTATGTTATAGAACAATATATATTTTTAATAATTACCAGAATTCTAAAAAATAAATTCAGATCAATAAACTATGTTTCTATTACAAAATGAAATTAGTAGATGGCTCAGAATCAGTTAAAATATAATTAGTGTCAAATTATCTGATTTTGATCTGTTAGTGCTATATCTGACACTTGATATTTCAGAAAAAAACCTTTTGATCTTATTCATTTCATTTTTAAAGAACAAAAAGGCATTTAGAGTTACATGTTAAAAACTTAATTCTTTTAAATACTATTATAATTATTGTTGACAAAAGAAAATTGTTTTTGTGAAAAATTTTTAAACTCAAATAATTAGAAAACAATAAATTATTTTCATTATTATAATTTTACATCTCTCATTAAAAAAAACATAACACCAAAAACTAACTGACAAATCTTGTTGAAATTATACAAATTTGTTTCTTATGTGTAAATATGCAAAGGATTAAAATTGATTTAACCTATAGGAGGAAAAAAAAATTACTTTTTTCATCCTGTAGATGAGTTTGATATCACTGTTTGCAAAGGTTTTATTTGTAATTATTGTTTCTTCCAAAAATATTTTAAAATATTGAGAACAATTAGAAAATGTTCAAAATAAACAATCAAGAAATATCATTCATTTAGGTGAGTTTGATAAAAATCAAATCAATATGCAGTGTGATAACCAGAAATATCACCAAGGATGGTGATATTTCTGGTTATCATACGGCATATTGGTTATAATTACACTGGATAATTGGTTATAATTAGGCCTTGAATTTTAAAGGAAAGTCATATTTTTTTCTATGAGTCTGATTGAACTCCTGACTTCACAGACATGTTTCAGATCATGTGAAGTACAAATGAAAGGTTTTTATAGGTTTTATAAAGTCATATTTTGGCAGAATTTTTGGGATAGGTCTTTTTTTGTAATTTTTTGGGGTTTTGTAGCCTTTTTCCATCACATTTTGAAATTGTTAGGTTTTTTTAAAAAAATTTTATCCAATATTGCCATGTCATGATACTAGTTGGCTTAACCCTAGGAGAAGCTTAAAACAATAAAGTTTTGGCACAGGTTTTCAAAAGGGAAACCTATAAAAATGGAACCTTCACTTCTACCTTTAGTAAGTGTTTTTTTTTTTTTTTTTTTTAATTTCATGTACCTTCAATTATATACACCCAGCAGTGGCTGAGTGGATAAAACCACTGAACAATGGTAGTTGGTTGTGGGTTCATGCCTTACCATTGAACTGGCCATGTGGCTTAGACATTAGTAACATAATCTAAATGGGGCAAGCTTTCCATAAAAGACCTCCCAGGAGCTACCATTCCCCTCTCAGAAGATTGCTCACATGTTGCATTGCTGTAACTGAATAAAATCAAATCAATCAATTTATACTTTAAGACAGATAACCCAATTATGTGAGAAGGATAATTATACAACATTTTAGAAAAGTGAATCTTAAATCTCAACGTGGAAGACTGCCAGCTGCAATTACATGGTTGGAAACTACAGGGATTCAACTGTTTCATGACCCCAAGATTGTAGCTGATATCCAGGCAAAGCTATGTCAAACCAATGGTTTAGTGGCATAGATCATTTCTAGAGAAGTGTTTTTCTCAATGAACAAGGAGTTTAAAACAATGAAGAAACTTGAAACCATTTTTAATGGAGAAGTACATTTGAAGAGGACAAACCTGAGCTCTCAAGCAGTGATATCAGCCTTTTCAAGTATGCACCGTTGATGACATGTGATGCAGAAAGATTGTTCAAACAGATACAAAGTTCTACTGGCTTGAACTTTCAAGTTTGAAAAGTTACATAGGCACTTGGTAATACAGTGCAATCATGAAATCTAACAATGTCATGTATGAAAGTTGATTATTAAAACACTATGATACTAAAGGAAATCTGAATTAATCTCAGTTAATGCTTATCTTCTGAAAATTTTAGGTCTTTTTAGGTCATATTTTCAGGTTTTTAGTGCTTTAATACCTGCTTATTTTGCCATTCTTTAAGTCTTAAAAATCCGAGCCTTAGTTATAATGTTTCAATTGTATAAGAAATTTGTCAAAGATGGAACAAACAGTGATAAAAGTGAGTTGAATTCACCTGCACATACATAAATCATAAAATGTCAAATGTAATCAACTGATGATATTTTTTCATGGAGCCCTCACAACTTGCAGCATTTTTTGCTCTAAACTTCTTTGACTGACAGAAAAAGAATGAGTCCACCAGGGTCTAATATATATATTAAAAGTAATAGTAACAGTAATAAAATAGTAAATGAAATATATATATTTTTTATTTTTATTACTATTTCATTGAATGATTAAATTAAAATATATATAAAGGTTTATAACAGTTTATTAATAAACTATTATAACTTATATATTTTATTTTTATCAGTCAACGAAATGCAGGGATGGGGAGTAAGCGGAAAAATACAGACTCCTGACTCGATATTTTTTTAAATCAACTCCGACTCCAGACTCCCATAAGAAGATTTGACTCCTTGACTCCAACTGTCCATCCTTGATGAAATGTCAATTGAATGATGTGTGATAGACACCTACATAAATAATTTTGACTGACTAGTTAAACATTTCATTCAAAAAAAGTCTGCAAATGTACAACAGAAGTTTTCACAAACAAACACAAACTAAATTTAGAAGTACAATTTTGCATAAAGTACAATATATGTCTGCTGCTAGCCAAAAGTTAAGAATGATAACATATAGAAAAATAAATATTTTGATGATCCAGAAAGTATTAAAAATATTTTATTTATTTATTTGGTTAGAAAATAAATAAATTGTTAATAAATTTATTTTCTTTATTGCATAAAATTTAAAGCCAAATGATTGCTAGATTAGATTCAGGCAATAGATGCCATTTCTTATTATATTTATTAATTCATTTTGAAGGTTCTGGAAGAAAAGAATCAGCCTGGAGTGGGACTTGCCACTTACTGTGCAGTTACACTAACCAGACCATCAGAACTATTAATTTGGATATAACCATGTTGGCACCATGAGTAACCAGTAGGTTACTCATGGTGCCAACTGGAGATGACTGTGCCCAATGCCTATAATCTCCCACTAATCCAGCAATCATTTGGCTTTAATATAAATATGCGGTTTACAGATGTTTATATTTGCATAAGATTTATACAATAATATTCACAATAATTAAAAGTTCAATAATTCAAAACTTATTTTTATATGATAAAACAAACTAGTAAATCTATTATAATTTCATAACAAAACTATTTTTTGAAAAAAATTGTTTTATTATGAAACTTAATGAAATTCCACAATTTATTTTTTATGAATTTTAATATGAAAAACAAATTTTTGACACATTACTACATTTAAATAATCGGCATTTTACAATAAATTTTTCTTCTTACCTTTGCTAGCATTATCATACAACATGCTAAAAAATCGAAATATATCCCTTGGAATAGTGTTTTCATTAGACAACCTTTCAATTATAACCATTACTTCGTCTTGTCCAACAGTATTTAAACCATTACTAGTGAAACACCAACATTCCTTTCCAATACAGCAATCCACTGATTATTATTAATAAAACAATATTTTAGAAATAAATTTAATGAATAAACCATTTATGAGATAAATTTTAAATATAAATGTTATTTATAATGAGAAAAATTACTATTTTTGACAAATAATATAATGTCTAAATGAGCACATATTAATGTATCTATATTAATTATGAATACTACAAATCTAGTATTTATAATCAATGTATAGTACTGTAAAAGTAAATTGACGCTTCACATTGAAACACAATGATTTCATGTAATCAAATTTGACATAATGCATAACCCAGACTAGAATAAACTGAATATCAATGTTAATTTAGAAATATGCATCAGGTAAATTTATTCATTCCAAATTTTAATAAATTTCTTGAACTAATTTATCTTAAATAAATAAATAGATTGCAATAAACTCAATAATGCTTTCAATTCTGAATGTATTTTTGTTTACATTATTTTTCTGTTGTCATGACTAGTGATCAGATAATCTCAGTTTGTGCATGGAATCTTGGGGAAACATGCATAGAAGAGGAAAAAGTAGAAATATCTTTTGCTGAAAGGAATGTAACAGATTTCAAATTTAGACTATTTTTGGTTGCTTTTCTTCTACATGAACATATTAAAACTGAATGTGAAAAATCAATTTTATTTTGAACTGTGATAGAGATAGTTATGAGCTAAGTAGATTTTTCATCTTTATATTAAAATTAATATAATATTGATTTTAATGCATTATTTCCTCCATTATAATGCCAAGACATTTGAATGATAATAAATTAACAAATGATATCAAAAGAGAAATTATAGGATTATGGAAATGTAATAAGTTTTCAATGAAAACAATAATAATTGTAAATTTGATACCCCACCATAAAAATGTTTCAAATTAGATACGTTGGTGGCAAGAACATATTTACAATTCAAAAAAGATCCAGAAGATCACAAGAAATGTCTGAGCCTGAATCAAGAAATTATAACTGTCACTGACTAACCTTGCAGAATTGCTGTAATGAAAATTGTATATTATGATGCTTAATGGATATGAACAAAGATGGTTAAAAAATTTTGTTTTAAAAAAGCACCTCATCCTGCAAACATTATTTGACAAGTGGACAGAAAAAGGCAAGAACTGGGTTTTGTATTACAATATTTATTGTATTCTCCTGACTTTTGGAAAAGTCATATTTTCAGACAAGAAAACATTTTAGTCAAATTCTCACTGAGAATTTCATTGTTACAAACTAATTGCGTCTCATTATTTACATGCAAATGTGGCCCTTTGGATTATAAGATTGTATGTAAATGTTTGAGGTCAGATTTTTGCAGATAGTCCAGATAGTTGATTTACTTCACTCAAATATATAAACCTACTTGAATTGGTTGCTTTCTATCTCAGCAGTTTATTCTGAAAATTACTTTTTAATTTTAGTGCCTGATAACTATCTGATTCATACTAGTTGAATTGTTAAAAAGTGAATTAATCATCATTCTAAAATAAATGTGTTACCTTAGCCAATGATTGACAGACTAAAACCTAATAAAAAAACATTTGGAGAAAAATGATGTGATCATGCAAATGGGAAATTAATCCTTTGTCAAATAATATATTTACTCAAGCTCATAACATTTGGGATGAATCTGAAGTATCTGTTTTTTTTTTTTTTTTTTTTTTTACAAACTTAGTACAATCAATAAATGCTAGATTAAAAACAAGTAATCAATGCATCTGGTGACTGAGCAACTTATTAATTTAATATAATATATTAATTTATAAATAATATTCACTACTGTTTATGACAATGCAACAACATGAAGGAATCATGATATTAGCTTGAAACTTTCAGGATATGTAATTAGGATATACAAACGATCAAAGTTGCAGAGTGATTGTATGTGCCCTTAGATGTTAAGTTAAGAATATAAATACAGAGTTGTTTAGGAGCCACACAAGTACAAGTATACCTCACCTTACATCAGTAATTGATTCCAGGAGAGTCGACTTAAGTCGAAAAACGACATGTTGAATTTACTTCTAACTAGGCTAAACCACAAATAACCATTCCCAGTTCTGTATTTTATTTTTAAATGCATTTTTAATAATATATGATTAATAAGAATCTATTTTAAGCTTTCAAACAAATAAATTTTAGTTTTTATTATAGTACAGGAAAAAAGTAATCTAAATTTACAATACACGTACAGTACGTACTGTACATACTTGTAAATATACATGTTTACAATTTGGCGATGTTTACAGTACATCGCAAACTCTTTATTTATGAATGCGGTTTGCTCTAAGACATTATAAAATAAGATGATTTTGTAAGGTTAAATAACAAATACAGATTATTAAAATTATTTTGCAATAGTAAAAAGTAAACTAATTTATGTTAAATTTATCAATAACAAGTGGCACTGACAACGACGCCAAATAATAGATATTGGAATTACTGTGGAAAATGCCAATATTAAGCTCTAAAGACTGCTAAATAAGATGACAACACAGAGTCATAGATGTTTTCATATTTCATTCTCTATGATTTATGATGATTATATTAACATTTACTGTAAACGTATGTATTTTAATATGATTTTATATGCTTTTAACACTTTTGTAGTGATATTAGAATTTCAATATTTGTGGCGGACAGATGTAAAGCTGAATAAAATGACTTAAACTTGATTTTTATTTTTCCATATATTTTTTTGACAAACGACATATAATCAAGAACGACGTAACTTGAAGTATACCTGTAGTGCATTGCAGATAGTAAGCAATTTCACAGGATACCATCCAAAGTCTTTTCAATTCATTGCCATGATGTATAGGTCTTATTTCAGGTTGCAAAGGTTTTACAACTTATGCACAGTCATATCAGTAATGGGTGATATAAATTTCATTGTAATCAAATAATTCCCTCATGGTATTGCAATTTTCACAAACAATAGTGTATATTATTTAAGTAATGCCACAGATGGTGAGATTATGTTTTGAAATAATGTGTTTGATTTCAATAATAGTAATATATATTAAATATTACATTTCAATGTATTATTTTATGTTGTTATATACATGAGTCGCACTCAGGTAAGTGAGGTGGGACCTATTGTTAACGTCTGGGAGGAAGTTGTGGGTATTTCGTCCAGTGTGGCTACTGTCCCAGTCGTTTTGCCACCTTGACATAGTGATGGCAGTAAGTTCCTTTGTGAGGAAGGAGATGGGAACGGAGGTGTAGGAGTAAGAGCAGGCTAGTTTATGAGCCTGCTTTGCCAGTTTGTAGATTCTCACAGGCCACGGCAATTTCAAGTGCTACCTTCATCGCTTCCTAAAGAAGGGAAATGGACTTTGCGACTGTGAAGTAAAGGAGAGGGATGACCCTTTCCATATCATATTTACTTGTACCAAGTTCAATCAGTATCGTCAACAACTAAGAGACCTGACAACCCAAAAAGGGCACAACTGGCCCTGCCACCTCAGCGCATTCCTCGAGGACAAGGACATATACACCATATTCGTCAAATTTATCAACAACCTAAACTTAGCAGACTATCAAACCCCAACTGCTACCCAAGACAATATGCCAGCTAACTCACTAAATAGGCACAGTCAGACTCCATAACTCCAGGATCCAAGGACAACATCAAGGCTCCATTTTCTTTTAGGACTTAATCAGATACCTACGTATGGGTGTGATTTCTTCCTTGTATCACTCTTCAGCACCCATCATTAGCCTTCAATCGTAAAGTAAGAGCAACCACGGCGCCAATCATCGTTCATGTGAATCATCTTTCTGTCTTCACGTACAAACATTATATATTGCAATTTTGTATTTCTGTGTTTTAATAAACAAATCCCAGCTGGAGCCCCTCCTTCTCTTCCCCCTTCTATTACCATTGCTAATTCTTTCATCCCTCCCCTCCTTCCCTTATCCTACCTCCTTACCTCTCCTTTCTTCCTTTCTCCTTCTAGGGCTATACCTCTGAGTAAGGCCCAACCCCCCTTTTACCAACTGTTGTTATATACATATTTTATACAACCAATATTTTTGTGAATAAAGATTGTAACAATAAATTGTATGAATATATTTTAAAACATGTTGATGACAAAGTTTTCTTGAATTTGTATTAATACTTGCTATTGAATTCAAAATAACATCAAGAAAGTATTTCATTTTCATCTAAATAATAACAGTTTCAACTAATTGCAAGTAGAAACATTTAACATAAATTACAATGAACATAGTTACTCAAAGTATACTTCCAAGTTAACATTGATGTTCAATTGATATAGTCTGGTTTAAGAATAATGTCTAAAATGAGTCAAAATGTCAAAGAGATTATTCATAACCCAACTTTGACACCATGACATCATCTTCACACTGATTGGTATGAAATGTAATTTACTTTTGTAATCAAATGCATAATGACATTTAAATTATAAAAATTAATATTTTGAGCTTTCTAAAATATCTTGCAATAATAAAATATTTATTTTAGATTAATTATTTATACAAAAACATATTAATCTTTAATAAAAAATTAATATAGAATTTGAACTGTTACATTTTATAATGGATTAGTTAACTAAATATTGTTTTTCTGGAATGAATAAATATTTTTAACATTAAGTCTATCTTTCATTTTAAGGATAGTTCTGACATGTAAATTGTTCATTTGTTCTTATCTTTGTCAAATAAATTTAACTTTGTGATAAAGATGACAATGATAGGCTAAAATAACCAAACTCTTAATAATTTTTTTTAAATGTTTGTTGTTCTTAATTTTTTCTCACACAGTGCCAGGGATATCTGCTAGTAGTATTATAAACTATAATTACATTTTTAAAACTTAACATGAAATTTTAAACATACTTACATTTAACAATTTTTGCCAAAATATGCAAATTTTTAGTTAAGGCAAAAACAATTGGTCTGCATTGTTCATCTGTAACAACGAAAAGTATCGAAATTTAAATATTTATAAAAATTTCAATTAACTTAATTATTCATTAAATCACTATCATGCTTGCATACATATTATATGTTATCTTCTCAAATAAACTAAACTACATAAAAAATTTTTGATGCAAATATATATAAATTATCTAAATTATCAATTTATAAATTTATTTAACTGACATTGTTTTTTATAACAACTAATTAATATTTACATTTAAACAATTTTTTAAAATGAAAATAAAAATATAAATTTTTTCATGTATGATTGTGACAATTTGCCTCATATACATATTATAACATGTAGAAAGAAGTAATTAAAAAAAAAAAATCAATCAATCAAATAAATAAGTTATCAAGCATGAAATAATAAAAATATGAAGTGAAATTAAAAATTAAACAATAAATAAACTATGTATTATATACATCAGAGATGGCCAACACGTAGACTGCGATCGACCGCAAAGGTTTTGAAAGTAGCCCGCGAAGCTAAAGTTGAACAATTTGCTTTCACTTAAATTAATGTTTAAAAATCTTAATTCGATAATTTATTCTTACAATAATAGACTGTCTGTGCAACGTACCCATACTGTTTGTATTTATCCCGATGAACAATGCAAATGAATGTTAACACATGCACATATAAAAATCCTAAAATTGCCCATATTCATAGTTGCCTGCAGACTACATTTTACCAAAAAAGTAGCCCCTAAGGGATAAAAGTTTGGCCACACCTAATATACATAGTAAGTTCCAGAAGTTTCCAACCTGAAAACACAAATTCACGGGTTTCATATTAACCATCATCACCCCATTGTGATAGTGCTGAAGTTAAAATTTGGTACCTTTATTCACAACTGTATGTATATTAGATCCAAAGAGACATTATACTTAAAATGTTAAAAATTGAGTATCACACAACTATCGGAATTTCTTACAAAATTATGGTGACTGTTTTATCATTTCAATTTTATTGACTCCAATATGCATTTCAGATGTATACATTCATCCCTCTTCAATTGGATACAATATTATATTTACATAGACATATCAACAAAAATAACATATTTTTTATTGATATATGTATGTGTGATACTCCATTTTTAACATTTACACATATTACATATCCAATTGAACAGGGATGAATGTATACATCTGAAATGCATATTGCAATCAATAAAATTGAAATGCCCAACATATATTCCCCTCTTTATACCTGCTAACTCAGTGGACCCTTGGCCTTTTAAGGTAATGGCATTCCAGGCCCTAGTCTCAAGGGCTTACTCCCATTGCTCTGAGACTTCCAATATCTATAAAAAACTGAAATGCATCAAGCATATAGCATCTGCATATGGGTACCACAAGTCCTTTATAACAGGCTCGCTGCCAACCAGCAATCTAGGATAGCTATCACCAACACAAGGGTTATTGATGCAGAGCACAAACGAGTTGTTATATCTTACAAACAGTCCCTCCAACAAATTTATAATAGAATCACTAAGGATTTAAACTTGTGCTTAACTTATAAGAGAAAACAAAACATTTTCCGGCTCTTATCTAACACAAAAGACAAGTCCAATGACAAGAAAGCACCAGGAGTGTACCGCATTCAATTGCAGGAAGAACATTTCAATAGACATATAACATACATCAGATCCACATACAGATCACTAGAGGCTAGAATACGGGACCACAAAATACGATGTGTCCAACAGGAGGTATAATACTGCACTAGCCCAGTAGGCTACCGCACCCAGGATTTCTCCTTGTTGGGATGAAGCTACTCTTTTACACAGGGCTTTTGACCAACATGACTTGTGTTTGTTGGAGGTGCTTGAAATTTATATAGTGAGCATGAAGGGAGTTTGCATTAACTCTGACTATATTACAGTTCCACAATCATGGAAGTATTATTTACAATGCCACAAAGGTAACAATAATTTTTTATGTATAATTATGCATTTATCTTTATGCAATGTAAAGGAAACAATTTCCTTTATCGAACATTGTTTATACATTAAAACATTGGGCTAACTTTTATGTCATATATTATATTAATAAATTTATTTATGGCTTTACAGTCGACACCCTATAACACTGTTGATTATTCCGTTTTACATAAATTCCATGTTGTACAAGTCACTTAGATTTTACAAATACATGAGCTGTTCACAGCCCGCCACATGTATTTCTAAAATCTAAGTGACTTGTACAACATGGAATTCATGTAAAACGGAATAATCAACAGTGTTATAGGGGTGTCGACTGTATTTAAAAAAAAACTTTTTTTATATGTTGTAACATGTAATGACCTTTGTATTGAACATCGTTTAAATTTTGAAAAATTAGAACACAGCTACATTTGAAAGCTAAAACTTTTCAAAAGATAGAACTGTGTTTTCTGTTTTGTGCATTCTTTCCTGATGAGGGCCTCTGAAAAATGTTTGAACATTAAAATTTATATTGTTCATTATATGCTGGAATTTGCATTTAAGTGAAAAGTTGTTTGTTTAAAATTGAAATGCTAAAACAGTCATCTTAAAGTCATTTATGGTCAATACATTTGATTTTGAGGCATATTAATAGCAAACTGAAAATTTAACATAGTTATCCAAACAATAGGCATTTTATACTACAAAAATAATTCTGTTCTAATTCTAATCATTTCAATTTTATCAGTCTCCACACTGAAGAACAAAAAGGACTGTGAGCTAACCAAGAGAGAACAATGTATGTCACTGTTTAAGTAGGCAAAGTGCTGCACACTAAACCTATTTAGTGTTGTTTTCTCTTCCCTTTTCTCATGAAGTATCCAAAGTTAAGGCCAGTTCATAACTGGCCTTAACTCTGTTTACCTGAAAAAAGCATATACTACATATACTTTGTAAATATGCCAAAACATGTAATGAAAGTTAATAAAGGATTTCTGATGCTATTATGAATCTTTAAGCACGATGAGGATATAAGAATCAAATATGTTGGATCTTCTTTACTGTCTTTGGCTAACTTTAAGAACAATAAAACTATCATCCAAATTTCTGAAAACTTCATTTATTGTTTGTTTTATTTTTAATTTTTGAAAGTCAGCCAGTTGATTCTTCATACTGAAATTATCTGACTATTTGGACCTTAACATTCTATAAAGCATGAAAAGTTAAAGTGCAGAAAATTTCTTTCAGGCAAGTATACACTACTTTCTTAAATAATATCTAATTAATTTTTAGACTAAACCATTCAAAAAGATTAAAAAAGAATTAAAACAGGCATTTTAAAGTTTGATAAATTCATTCACAAAGCTTATTTAATTATTAAAACAGCTGACATCTTGCAATCTCAAACAAATGATCTGTGAACAAAATTGATATTCTCCTTTTATGTGATATTAAAATATATAGTGTTTTTTCCATTAATTTTTATAAAATAAATTATATTGAAGATTTTATATTTCTAAAATAATTAGATTGTTGTTAACAAATCAGAATCACTTTTCTTTCTTCAATCATCTGAGAAATAGAAAATAATTTTAATTGTTTGTCACAATCAAAATTATTTTCTATTTCTCAGAACATTGATTTGAACATATATAATAATAATAATAATAATAATTCTCTAACCTGTTAACCAATTGATTAATTTTTCCAGATCTGGTTTTCCCTCTGAGCTTAAATCTAAACATATTAGATATAAATAAAGTTAATAAAAATTAAATTATCTGAAGAATAACTGATATATATTAATAATAAGAATTAATTGTTTTATTAGTTTTTTGTTCTCCAAAACTAACTTTACCTGGTGGCAATAGAATTGGTGAGAGTGGACCATCAGAATCAGTTACAATAACTTTTTTGATACGTGATTTTAATTGTGATGCTTTATGTTTTTTACCAGAAACTATAGTTGAATTCTGAGTACTATTATCAACTAGAAGGTAAATAAAAATATATTAATATTTTATTAACTATTTAATATTATATAACAACATACATTAAAACAATATTTGATTACTTGTAGAAGTTTTCTCAATTCTTCTTTGAACTCTACCTTGACGACGATATGGAGGAGGATGATCCAATATTTCCGACTGATCAGTTAAATCTCCACCAGGCCTGATGCCATCAGAAAACATTACTTGTTTTGGTTCTCCTTTTGGCTTATCTCCTTTAAAATTGAGCATGTTTACTTTTTCAATATATTAAAATTAAATAAAATCTATTTAAATCTTATATATAAAAGTAAAAGTTTAGAGGGAAAACAATTCTTCCTTTTCGGGGGTAAGGGCCACTTCTGGGAATAACCAGTATAATGAGTAGAGGTTACCTGAGGGCATATGAGATGAAGAATGGACACTTTTGAGCTGGTGCTCAAAGAGAGAAGAGAAAAACCAAGGGCAGGCATGTGAAATTGTTTGATACCCTAGTATATGAGTGAAGTTGTAACTTCAAGAGGAAATATTTGAAATTCTTGAACCAAAGTTAGTATGGGATTTGATATCAACCTGACCAATTGCAAATTTTGAATAAGTGACCACCAGATTGGTAATCAAAGCCCTCATTATTTTTCTCCTTGGTTTCCCAAGGAGAAAAAGAAGAAAGTGTTAATTTTGTGCAAAAAGTTCCACATGGCCCCTCACGACAATGAGAATTAAAAGACATTGGCAGGACCCAGGTACTTCTGTTCTGTCCTATCTGCCATTTTTATTACTTCTTGTCCCCTATCTTCATTTTTTCATATTCATGTAAGTTTAGTATTAAGAGTTAGTTATAGGAATTTTATTTTTGTAATAATCATTCTTGGTTATTGTTAGGATTAGTGTTAACACGATTCAGTGTGTTGTGCTCATTTATTAATTTTTTAATTGTTTCACGAATGATCAGGTTTAGGGTTATTGCTGATTTTGGCTAATTTGTCATATAAAAATTCTTATATTAATTTCTTAATAATCTTATTTTTAACTTATACAGTGGTACCTCAGGATACGAAATTAATCCGTTCCGACACTGAGATCGTATCATGAAAATGTCGTAAGGTGAATCATTTTTCTCCATACGATTACATGTAAAACCAAATAATTTGTTCCAACACTAAAAACACACTCAAATTAAAGCTAAGTAATACATTAAAAAAAAATAATAATAACTATAGTAAGGAAAACACTGAAAAATGCGTTTTGTAGTTGTAAATGTATAAATAATCGTAATAGAATAAAAATTGATTAAAAAAAATGTAGTTTTATTTGCACTTTACTTTTGAGGATAGACGACAGTGGAGGTGTAAATTGGTGGCGGAAGAGAGGGAGAAGGGAAATGATACTAAAACTTAACTTACATAACATAATGTAAAAATAACTTAGAAAAGATTTTAAAAAATTAGTGTTGTTTTATTTATTTATTTATTTTTAAAATTTTTATCCACTGCTTTTTGCTTTCTTTCCTTCACTTCTACTAGCACTTTCACTGGATAGAGGTCGCTTGGTAAAATATCTATCCAAAGACGTTTGGCTTTGCCTACTTTTTAAAATGTTTCTAAAATGACTTAGGCAAATGTCATTACTACGAGCAACAATATGGCCAGTGTGAACCTTTTTGGGATGTTTCTTTTCAATAAAATCATTCACTTTCTGATAATACCTCAAGATTTCATTTATCGAGCAAGATCCTTCTATGACGAAGCAAACACGCGGACTGAGATCGACGAACAGAAGTGAATAAAAAATGGCGCTGCGAAGTAATGTAACGTTGTATGGTGAGTTTTTGTTCGTATTGTGGAGCAAAAATATGTTCGAATTTCGTGTCGTATCCTGAAAATTTTGTTTGCTGGGGCGTTTGTATCCTGAGGTACCACTGTATACTTAAAATCTGACATTTTTCAGACAACTATTCAGTTCATTGAGAAACAAATGTGGCAATCTGAAAGTAATATTCTATTACAATAATTAAGAAAAGTACTGTATAAACAGAAATTTCTGATAATTTCCACAATTTCATTTTTAAATTTATCTCAACAATTAAAGCAGCAAAATAATTATAAGAAAAGTAATGTAATCCATCTTATTATGTCACCTGTTAAAAATTTTAAATAATTTTTATATAATTAAATTTACATTTAAATATAAATAATAATACCTGCCATACATTTATTTTAAATTAAGATTTACAGCAGAGCATTGATTATTCAAAACAATTCGGGACTGGAGTTGTTCAGATAACTGACCATGTATGAAAAAACTATATTAACCTATCCCATGTTGAAATTTTACTCCACTGCGTGTCACTTTGCATGGAATTTTCATCAATGTTAAGTCTAATGAAAATTTTTTAAAATAATAATCGTAGCTATTGTATTGTTAAAAATTATTTCTTTATTTTGAACAAACAAAATAAATATATTGAAAAATATAAAGACAAAAAATTTATATTTCAGAAGTTAATCTTGTACCAAAAACGTTCCAATTCAACACAACACATGTCCCAAGAACACAGTCCTCGGAAAAACACCACACAAAACAAGCAAGACTTTTTCTTCTTTTTGGTTTATCTGGAGATGTCAGCCGCTTGGGCTATATTCTGCAACAAGCTGAAGCAAAACACACCACTCATGATGGGGAAAAAAGCCTCGTTCAAATACTGGTGTGTCCTTAAGTATTCTCTTGATGTGTGTCATGCTAAATCGGAACATTTTTTATACTAATTATTACGCCTTTGTGTCCTATGACTTAATTTAATATTTATCTTGTATACTAGTACTTTATAAATTAACAGGACTTATTATACTGAATTTATAGATGCAGAAATTTAGTCTTACAGATCAAAAATAATATTTTTTATTTAGTACAGGTGAACTAAATAAAAAAAAATATTATTTCTGATCTGTAAGACTAAATTTCTGCATCCATAAATCCAGTATAAGTCCTGTTAATTGATAAAGTACTAGTATACAAGATAAATATTAAAATTTTTGATACTAGATGAACTTCCAAAATATAATTTTTTTGTTTTTATATTTTTCAATATATTTATTTTGTTTGTGCAAAATAAAGAAATAATTTTTAATGATACAATATGGTTGTGGTAGTGCTGCCAGCTAAAACATGCATACCAACAAAAATAATATTGGACTAGCCCAAGACATAGCCAAATATTGCAGTGCCACAGCACTAGTGGAAATTTGAATTTGCCAACTGGATCACTTTTAGTTAACCGATGTTTCGGTTGATTGGTATTCGGATAATCGATGCTCTACTGTATTCTGAAATTTTCATTTATTAAAGTTATTTTGTTAAAAATTAAAAAACTCTTCTATATTATTAAAAATTGAGCAAAAGTAGCAAAATGAAAATTTCTAATTTAATAGAAAAGAACCTTTACTTTCATATGGCAAGAACAGTAATTTTATTTACGTTTTTAGTATTTAAATATTAAAAATAATTATTCAAATTAGTTGAATTTAAACCATCTAATATTTACTCTCGTTGATTAATTCAATATAATTTTTTCCCCTTTCATGATCATTCTTATTTTTCCCACTTTTATTTAAATCTTTATGTGAAAAGATATTTTATATATTTTTTCTGTTTAATTTATTCTGCATCTTTATAGCTTACTCATCCAGCAATCCAAAGCTCTTAAATTGATCTAATCATTTGTTCTAACAGCAGCTTTTGTTTGAATTATAATATGCTGTATGGTGCTTTTTTATTAAATTTGTAAATAATATTTTCAAAAGTATTTATAATTTCCAATAAATAGTTCTGGTATTATTTTTCACGGGTACAGTCAGTGCTAATAATATTGGATTTAAGATAACATTTTTAAAATTTACTTTCTTATCTCTAGTAATAAGATTTATCATCCCTAAAAATTAAACAAACTAATTTATTATTATAAGCTTAGTTTTGTGAAAGTTTTAATAAGAAAAGCAAAAATTTTAACATTTTAGTCTTTTTATTATATATATAACTGAGGCAATAATAAACTGTTTAGATGTAACACTAATTTAAAATAATTTTGTAATGATTTAAGTTTTTAGGAAAAACAAGCCTGACATTAAAACAGAAGCTTTTTTAAATTTACTAAAAGAGCTATTTAGTACTCTACAGATCAAAAGATACACTACTAAAACAGTCTATTAAAAATTTAAATACATTAAATTCTCTGCTTTACAAAAATATACAATAAACTCAATAGTAATATAAAACCAACTATTTCTTTGGCATTAAAAACTTTTTAATAAAAATGAAATATATATGTAGGTATTTTCAACAGTGCATCAGACAAAAAACTTTTGTAGAATGGAACATCAAAAAATTTTTAAATAAGAAAACACAGGTTTAAAATTTTATTTATATACATTTTAAAATGTTTTTATACTTGTGTACTCTTTCATAAAAGCTTTTGTTTGATGTTTCATTCTACGACAGTTTTTGCCTGATGAAGACAGTAATGTACTGTTGAAATTGCTTGCATACATATTTTATTTTTATTAAATAGTTTTTAATGCTGAAAGATAGTTGTTTTTATATTACTTATGTAATTCGACATCAAGTGTAAGTTTAATTTTTGAAAATTCAACACAAAAAAATAAAATTTATCAAACTAATAAATTTATTTCATCATAAATGATAATGAGATAAGACAATAAAAATGAATTAATTGTCAAATTTATTCTATAATATGAAAAAAGTAACAATTAGGAATTTAGGAAAAACTAAAATGACCATTATTAAATGAATATCTTTTAATTGATTTTATATGATAAATAAAAAAAATTAAATATTAATTATTAAGTAATATTTATTTTATTTAATCAATTTTTAAATATAATTTAAATTATCCGAAAATTATAATAAATTTGATATCATCCTGATCCTAAACCATTGAAGTTGCAAATCTGGTGTATTCTGAGTACTCTAAATCAGTGGTCCCCAACCTTTTTATCGCCGCGGACCGGTCAATGTTTGATAATTTTACCGCGTCCCACTGAGGGTGGGACATTGATTGTTTATATTTTAGATTGATTTAATTTAATAATTTTAATTTAATTGTATTTAAACATGCCTTCAAAATAAAATACAGTTACACCAAAAAATGAATATAATGTGATTTAACATTTTAACTCACTAGAACGCTAAATCAATGAGAACCCTGAGCTTGTTTCATTGCAACGAGACAGTTCCCTCTGGGGGTAATAAGAGACAATGACACCCGAAGTGTGTTTCTTATGTCCAGTTTATTCTGTTGTTCCATCGTCCATTAAAAGTCACACAAACCCGAGGAAATACACCATAGGAAATAAAATGGAAATAATTTAATGTTCCTTGGGCGGTCCGGTACCATTTGATCCACGGACCGGTATTGGTCCGCGGTCTGGGGACCACTGCTCTAAATGATTCCAAAAATATTAAATAAATGAAAAAACATTCTAAAAGATTGTCTAAATTACTATTTATGTACAGAATATAGAAGAGGACTCAGATCAATGAGGTTTTGAATATCAATATTAATACAAGAGTAATATGATTTTAATACATGGAAAACTTTTCTATAATTCTAAAAATTTATTGACATCATGGTTAACATTTCTTTTCCTCTAAAATAAAATGTAGATGTTAAATATCAATAATAATCTAACATTTCTAAAATGTGTTAACTAGATTATTATAAATAAAATATACATAAAAATGAAATTTTGACATTTTGGGTTTTGTTACATATTCATTGCTGATTCAACATTCAATTTGAAAAATAACAGAAAAATGGAATGAAGTTAATATACAGAAGAGTTCATAATGATGATGACTACAGCTCAATAACATTATTTTAAAAATTAAATAGAATAAGTTTTAATTTTAATAATTCTAAACCACTGATTTTATTATTCTAGATTTTTATAATTTAAATTGCAACAAAATGGTTGCATTCAAACCAATATACTGAAAACTAAGAGTTGATAATATCAATATAATAATAGTATGATTCAGACAGGTTTAAAACAACCTATTATCAATTCCTCCCAAAAAAATTATACAATTGATAAAATATTCACATACTGCTAATTTTAATGATTATTAAATACATTTGCTTAAATACAAAATAAATTTTAGATATAATTAAATTAATATCTCTTAATAAAAAATCATTTAACCTAATTTTTTATAACAGTTTAAACCTAGAATTTGAAATTTTGGTAAGAAATAAAACTTGTAATATGTAGCATTTAATGAAAAAAATGATTTTGAAATCTAAACTGAATCAAAGTATATACTATCTAATTATTAAATTTAAAGTTTCATTGTTTATAAAAAAAAGTTAACTATTTTCAATTTCTTCCCCATTAATGTTTCATATAGGTTCTTTTTGAAAAATTCTATATTTTTCAAAATAAAATTTATTTATCCCATCAATTACGCTACCTACCTCTTTTTAAAACACCAATTGGAACCAAAACTGTTGGAGGTGGACAATTTAAGTAAGGTTGAGCTTGTTGTAATGGTGAGATTGTCGAACAATATTCTTGAGGATTATTTGGATTGGGTGGCCACCAACCCAAATTTTCTTGATTATTGGAAATTAAACCTGGAGAATTTGATCCATTTTGTAAAGAAGGTGTCAAACTAGGACTACTTCCACCAGAACTTGGACTAGAAGGTGTGTTGTTGTTGGACAATCTTTCCCATTCTTGAACTGTAAAATTAATACATTCAAATGAAGTTTGAAGCAATATCAATATTGGCATTTGCAGTAGCACAGAGCAAAATCTATTGCATCGTGTGTTAGATGGGTATTAATTTTTGAATAATTATTTTTATTAAGTTCAGAAAATGAAGACACAGTAATATATGTAGCAGATTTAACTTTTTCTTTGTCATATGAGTAAGGTTAATTTCTAAAAATTAAAGATATTAAGAAAAATTAATAAGTATTTAACAAGACATGCATTTATCACATTCAGAACACAAAAGTTGGTATATATCTACTTTCTATCATGTTATCATTTTGAATAACAAATTTATTTTTAGTTAAATTCTAATTATTCATTCAAAATTATTAAATTTTTATTCATTTCATTAATAACTAATTTTCTTTAAAAGAAGAAATTATTATAAATAATTTGTAAGTAAAAATATCCTAACAGAAAAAATAATTATATTTCATTTATAGTATATGATAGATATAGTATTTGTATTTGCAATTTAAGTTTTTAATATTAATTATAAATTTTACTATATATCCAGCAACAGTTTTTAAAGTACAAATCTGTAATTAAACTAATGAAATTTTCTAATCTTGTACAGTACAGTTGAGCCCACATATAATGAGATTGTTATTATGAATTATTGGTTAATACACATTTTTTTTGTCCCCTTAAATGTTGTCCTCTTATTAAACCTATGTTATGGAAAGTATTTTTAAGTGATATATCAGATATGATGATTTCCACCTATTTATGCACAGTCATGCTAAAAATAAATATTATAGAGTATTTGTAGAAAGAAAGAAAATGCAGCATTATTGCTTAAACATTACATAAATTCTTCCAAGAAAGGAGTTTCATTTAAACCTTCAAACCAAAAGTTAATTTTTGCTTCTCTGGAATTCAGTCAGACTTCTTTTTGCTTTAAATGTTTAGGTATGACTAATGGTGGGTGATCAAATCATAGGTACTACTTTATTACTCCTTTTTGCTTTCATTAAGGAACTAGAGTAATTGTTAATAAAATATAAAACAATGAGATCGGTAAAATTTCTAAAAATATAATTTTTAAAAATAAAAGACGAGTAAATTAAGACACTCTTTCAAAAACCAATTTGAAATTTACGAAAATAAAATTAAAGTAAAGTATCTTTGTTGATTTACTGTTTGTCTGCTAATGCAAATTGCTCGAAGTCGGTTTTTGAAAGAGTGTCTTAATTTACTCGTCTTTTATTTTTAAAAATTATATTTTTAGAACTAGAGTAAGTCAGTCAGATTATCAACTTGAAATCAAATCAGCTGATTAAGCATTCCTGTGTTCTTCCAGAATTCAAAATAATCAGTATTATATCCATTCCCATGTTCTAGATCCATGACAGTCCAATCCTGACAGCTGTATTGACCAATTTCAAACTAGAGGAAGTAAGTGTAATTATCCTGTTCTAAATTCAATTTATTCTTTGTCTTATTGAGGAGAGACAGAGCAAGCTCATTGCATGATGTGTGGACGACGATATCCAAGTCTGGACAAGAATAAAAAGCTTTGTCATTGGAGACAAAGAAATCACTGTGATCATTCTCTTATACTGTAAGTAATATTTTTGTTTGCACACCTTATTTTATTCTGTTTTTAACTTTTAAACACAAACCAAGTTTTTTGATCATGTAAAAAATGATGTTCACATTTGGAAATCAGAAATAAATGCATTATCATTTCTTATAAAGTATCATTATAATGGTATTTTTTTTCTTAGTCCCCCTTCATATTGATTATATATGGGCCAGACTGTATTAACTTATTAAAAAAATATTATTTTCCAAATTTTTCATAAGATTTGGCATGGACACATTAATCATAAAATAAAATCAGTTTATAGTTAATTTTATAGAAAAAGAACTCTTGAAAGAAAAACTTATCACCAAAATTTCTTAGAGAATCAATGAACTAATGAATGCATATAAAAAGACATAACATTACAAACTTCTTATGAGACAAAAAAAATGCATATTTGTTTACAAATCTAGTGAATTAAAATTTACATATACAGTAGAACCCCTCTAATCCATCACCTTTGGGACTGGGGGTATGGTCGGAACGCAAAAAAGGTCGGATTATCAGAAAAAAGTAAAATAACAATCTTTCCCTTTGTCCAGTCTTTGTGCACCGCTAATTTTTCATTTAATGAAAGAGTAACGTGTTTACGTTTCACTCCCGACATGTTGAAAACACACACAAAACTGTACACGTACACACAATGTAAAACATATACTGTAACGAACACAGAAAAACGCCACGCACGGTGAGTCACCGACGAGTCGGGACAAGTTTCTCGACTACGACTACGGTCGGATTAACCAGAGCGACGGACTAGCCAAGGGCGGACTAGAGGGGTTCTACTGTAATAAAAATTTTATACTTTATATAACATAAAAATTATCTATTTAGGTAGCAACTAGACAGATCATGCTAAAATGCTAAACTATAATACTAAGCATAATATAGCAATTAGAATATTTTAATTATGAATGTTACATTATATATATTTTTTAAGAATTTTGTAATTTATATTTTATGATACTTTATAAGCATGCTCTACTTTTCAATAAAGTTTCTCATTTTCAAAATAGTTTTAGAGTAATTAAGACTACTGACTTATATAACTATTGTATATATACTTATTATTATCCAAAAATAAAAATAACTAAATTTAATGGATTCTTTCAACAATTTAAGCTAAAAAATTTATAGATAATGAAACTGTCACTATAAATAAATACATAGTACGATCCAAAAGTTTGGGAACTGGTTTAAAATTCCTTACCTTAAAAAGTTTATATTGCCGATGCACAACCACCTTCAAAGTAATCACCGTGGGCAATGATACACTTTTGCCAGAACTCGTATAACTTCTGGAAGCACTGCTGGAAGCCATTTTTTGAAACCTCCCATAAGGCCTCCTGCGATGCTGCTCTCACCTCATCTGATGACACAAAACAGTGTCCCTGCAAATGCTTTTTCATTGATGGAAACAAATAAAAATCACACAGGGCTAAGTCTGGTGAATAGGCGGGGTGTGGAAACACATTAATTTGAGTTTTGGCGATAAACTGTGTGANGATACTTTATAAGCATGCTCTACTTTTCAATAAAGTTTCTCATTTTCAAAATAGTTTTAGAGTAATTAAGACTACTGACTTATATAACTATTGTATATATACTTATTATTATCCAAAAATAAAAATAACTAAATTTAATGGATTCTTTCAACAATTTAAGCTAAAAAATTTATAGATAATGAAACTGTCACTATAAATAAATACATAGTACGATCCAAAAGTTTGGGAACTGGTTTAAAATTCCTTACCTTAAAAAGTTTATATTGCCGATGCACAACCACCTTCAAAGTAATCACCGTGGGCAATGATACACTTTTGCCAGAACTCGTATAACTTCTGGAAGCACTGCTGGAAGCCATTTTTTGAAACCTCCCATAAGGCCTCCTGCGATGCTGCTCTCGCCTCATCTGATGACACAAAATGGTGTCCCTGTAAATGCTTTTTCATTGATGGAAACAAATAAAAATCACACAGGGCTAAGTCTGGTGAATAGGCGGGGTGTGGAAACACATTAATTTGAGTTTTGGCGATAAACTGTGTGACCATTTGGAACTGATGTGCAGGTGCGTTGTCATGCAGAAGGTACCAGTCTCCACTTTGCCAGATCTGTGGCCGCTTACGACAAATGGATTCCCTCAAACAACATAAAATGTCTAGATAATGCACCTTGTTTACTGTTCTGCCTATGGGAATAAATTCTGAATGAACAATTCCTTGAGAATCAAAAAACACCTCCATTATGACTTTCCCTTTGCTTGGTGCATGTTAAGATCTTCCGTTAATATGCAGGCAACTAGTCTTTGATAAGTGAATAGCCACAGTGATTTTTTTCAAGGGTTTGGCAATGATCTTTGCGAACACATTGAGAAACCAACTCAACATTTTTCTCATTCCGTGAAGTCAAAGGTTGGTCAGAGCATTCATCGTCTGTGATGGATTCTCGGCCCTCTTTAAAACGCCGATGCCATTTGTACACCTTTGATTTTGCCATGGTAAAATCACCATACACCTTTCTTAGCAATTTTGAAGTCTCTGTCACGTTGACAAAATTTAATGTTGCAGCGCTGTTCTTGAAACTCCATTTTATTACATCGCAAAACAAAGGTAACTATCTCTGAAAGAAAACAACAGCGCTTGCGGTTTAATCACGTGACATATAGAATCAATTTCATATGTTGTAACTTCAAATACATGCTTTTGTTGTCATATATTACTGTAGTCCCCAAACTTTTGGATCGTACCATGTATACAATCATGGAAATTATTGATAGATGATACTATTAATTTTAGAAATATCTTTAAAAAAAACTTTTTTATAAAATAGAAAGAAGTCTCAAGATCAGAATTTTTGACATGCAATTCCTATACAATCCAGCAAGAATATTAACAGTAATATTATGTAAATATTCAGAGTTAGATTTTTTCCAATATCTTCCTTTAACACACATTATCATATAGCTTGAGAATACATTACTTTGTTTGAAGACTGCACAAAATATTCAATTGAGTATAACTTATTTGTATTTAATAATTATACGAACAATGATAGGAATTGAAAAATATTGTGTTAACACACAATAAAAATTACACAAAATCTTTAACTATGAAAGACTAAATATTTGAAGCTATTGCTACTGGTTAATAATTTACAATTTAATCATTTTTCACTTAATGCTCAAAGTATGAACATATCATCTAAATTTTTAAAATTATCATTTGTAAATTTTCTTCTAATCTTTTAACTATTTCAGACAGCCTTTATTGAAAACTTTTGATATATTCATTATTTATTTTTTAAATATAAAATAATTTTCTATATATAAATTTATTACAATTTCATTATCTAAACTTTTGAAACATATTGTAAATACAAAAATGATATATTCAGAAACAAACAGAGAAATGGAAGATTGAAATCTCTGTTTTGCTATAATTTTTTCAGTTTACTACACCTTCATTAGAAACATTTTATAACTGATTAAAACAGCTCCCCAAGAAAATTGTACCAAACCAAAAATGTTCAAAAAAATTAACTGTCTCATTATGTAGTTTCTTTTTATAAGATTTTGGAGGAAGTTGGAAATTATATAAAATACAATAAAACTTCGTACATTAAATAAATTTCTCATACATAAAATAACTATATAAAATTACATGGATATAAAATAAATTATAGTTTTACAAATCAATAGCATAATTTATTATATGCTACTAGATTCAAAAACAAGTGATTTTGAAGATTAAATTGCAGTTGAATTTAATAAAAATTNTTTGTGTTAATTTCAATAAAATTAGTGAAATTTGCATAAAATAATCTAAAAGTAATAGAATACATGTATAATTTTTTTAAAAATCTTCATTAAATGATATTTATATATTTTGAGATGAAAATAGCAGTCTTTGAAAATCTATTTGTTCTTGAATTTTTAATTTTTTTATTTAAAATATAAAAATTAAAAAGTTTTACAAAAATATTTCAAATTTATTTATTATTATTTTGAAGTCTTATGATATTGGAAAATAATTATAAATATTCATTAAAAAAACCACTTGCCTCGAACTAAAACAGCAAGACAGTGTTGACATACCCTAGCCTCTTTATTATCTAAATGAGGAAGACGAGTTTTCTGATTGCAACATTGGGAACACAACACCTATAAATAAATAAATAAATGAGTATTGATACTGGGGAATACAATTTTATGTTAAAACAAATTAATAAAACTTAAATAGCTGTACTACATGCCAATTTATACTATTAGAGAAAGATAGCATACACCACTGTCTGTCAGAATTACATAAAATTATTTATTTTGCAAGTACTTTCAACAGTATATAATTGTTCTCTTCGGGCAGAATCATTCATAGAGAACAAAACATTTGAATTCAAAAGTAGAACTCAAATAGGAACTAACATTTTTACAAATCATTTCTCCTGCATGATTTGTGAAAATGCGTGTTAAACCATCCATCTTGTAATCCAATTGTTGTACATAGGATCTATATATAGATCCTTGCAAGCCAGAATACATGACCCCAAATATGACATGGCCAAGGGAAATTTCAACACAGAGCTTGCCCATTTTGCCACCAAACCCGATCTGCTAGAATGAAGCTACACTTTCACACATGATCTTTGACTGACATGACTTACAACCATTAGAGGCGTTATAAATTTATATAGCCGAGAAAAAAAAATGTTGTGTTAACTCTGATGGCATTACAGTAATAGAAGTATAGAAATATTTTATAGATTCACACAGAATTTAATATTTTTAATTTTATTATTTAATATCATGCCATGTAAAAAATTGAATCATTCAAAGCCTTTCTTTTATTTTTATGCTTTAAACTGTGTGTCATGACAAGTATCGAACATATTTTTGAATATTTGGAATTGCTAAAATAGCAATTTTAATATTGTTTAAAATAGCAATAACTATTTAGAGACCCTCATCATGAAATAAAAGAAAAAAACAGTTCTATCATTCGATGGACAATACCATTACGTTTAAAATAAACGTAATGGTATTGTCCATCGAATGATAGAACTGTGTTCTTGTTTTTTTGTTTTATTTCCTGATAAGGGCCTCTAAATAGTGGCAAAAAACTTTAGAACTTTATAGTTATTTTCTGGAAATCACATATAGGTGTTAGTTTCATTTTTGTACTGTTCCAATTTTTGTGTGCTGTAATTTACTTTATAATTATCAATCTGGTATAAAAGTAGCTAAATCTTATTGCTGTATGGTGCAATAATTTGGCAAGAATGTTATCTCCAAGTCTATAATCTATGATTGGTTCAGTAAATTTACAGTTGGGCAATAAGAAGTCAAACACTCAGAAAAGCCCTTATCCTATTGGATGACAAGCTGCAGCACCTGGTGGACTGCAGTACTCAGGTATGGGTTGGCACCCATACCTGACCACACAAAAAACAATTTAGACACTTAGTTATGACCAGTCCACTGTAGTTCATCTCTTAACTGTCATTGAAAATGTCTGCAAGATCTTTCTTCATGACAATGCAAGACCAAACAAGTCAAGGTTGACCTAGCAGAAGCTCTTGATCTCAGCTGGGAGGTTCTTCCTGAAACCCCACATAACACAGACATTGCACCATCTGACTACCATTTCTTCTGCTCCATACAACACTTCTTGGATAGAAAGTAGCTTCTTGATGAAGAGGAAATAACAAATTATGCCTGCAGAGTTTTTTAAGTCAAAACAGTTTGAGTTTTATTCAACATGAATCCATTATCTACCGAATGAATGAAAAAAGAATGTAATGGCAATTATTTTCTTGAATAAACTATTTATTGTTTTTGAAATAAATGTTGTACTATAAAATTCCAGAAACTTTTGTATCAATCCAATATTACAGTTAACATTTTAAATAATAGAATAGATACTAATACCATTAAATTTAGAAATATAGTATTAATAATTAAAACCATGTTGTAAGAATAATAAGAATTCAAGGACCTTGGCGAAGTGGTTGAGCTTACTAGAGTATTCACCAGATGTCATCATGATGTAGACGTCAAATTTTTACCATTGATTACACACTAGCAACAATCGCTAATTGAACTCTAATTTGTGTTAATTTCAATAAAATTAGTGAAATTTGCATAAAATAATCTAAAAGTAATAGAATACATGTATAATTTTTTTAAAAATCTTCATTAAATGATATTTTTATATTCTAAAAAGATTTAAAATATATAATTACTTTAGCTATTAAATGTTATTTAAGCTCATAAACTATCAATTGCTTTTTAATTTCATCCTCGTAAAAGTTTTGTCAAGTAGTATAACCTCTTAATGATGGACATCGATCAGGAGTGACAAGTTTGTCCTTATTTTGAGGTGTTTAATGTTTCTCAACATTGTAAATCATTACATAAAAGGCAATAAGAATAAATGTCTTTTATTCATATCCAAAATGCTAAAATGCTTGTTAATTAAATGTGTCTGTTATTTAGAAGTGTCCTTTATGAATAGTTTTATTCTATATGCACTTGACAGCAGTTTTGGGTTTGGCATACAATTTTTACTGTGACAAATTTTAGTACAGCATAATTCTTAATTGCAGATCATTCAAACAATATAAACTCAATATATATATATATATATAATATCAATAAACAGCTTTATTCAGAAAGAAATTTGGAATATTTTCATTTCTCTTTTGAAATGCCTTGCAATTTCACATGTCTGGCAAATTACCTTAACCTTAGAGGTACTGGTACATATTTTACATTTCATTTTTATATGCTTTACATGGAAACATGTTTTTTTTTTTTTTTTTTATTTGACAGTGCTTCTGCAATGTCATTCAAAGAGTCATCACTAAGCATTCTGACTGATAATTGTTGTTTAATTTAATTAAGTAGTGAAAAAAGAAAAGTATTTGGTATGAAAGCCTGCTTTTTGTTTTGAGGTTAGTCAACTGTGCTCAGCTTTATAATATACTTTTATCTTTGGTCAATGAATTAATACAAACTTCACAATCTGTAAAATTTTTAAATTTTTTTGCAATGAAGCCACATAATCTATTATGCATTCTAATACATCTGCAAATACATAATCATGTTCAATTATTTCATCACACTCCTAAATACCTCTCTCAATATGTCCATCAAATTTCTCTTTTAATTTTTTCAAGTGGATAAGTTTTGGTTTTCTTTTCAAATTCTTTTTTTTTTGTTTAACTAGTAATCCCCCCTCGAAAACTGGCGCGACTGCAATCGCAACTAGAAACAAAAAGTTTGTTCTACTCGCGATGATTGCAAACGCGCATCCAATCAACAAACGCCTTTATGCCACGTCATACAGTGACAACATTGAAAATAGTTCATCATCATCGCGGATAGTCAGAGGATTAATACTTTTACAGAATCGAGATTGATCGAGCTTATTCAGTCTCACGAATAACTGTGGGATTTTAATTCTTCATTTTATCGAAGATTTTATCTTTTCATGTATTTTCGCCAGCTCTATTAAAATAATCGCCTTTTTTCTTTTATTCATTCCAGAAAAGGAACTGCTTGCTATTTTAATAAGAAAAGTGGCTAAAATTCCGTAAATACTCTGAA